AAAATCCCTTGTCCAATAAACGGAAAAAAGTTACACAATCTTTCTATTTACAACGTAGGTGTGTGAATGATCTTGTTGCAAAGGAATGGGCGACGCCGATGGTGATCAAAGGCAGCTGACGAGTTGTGGTCAATGATAATTAATGGTGATCTATGGCTGCATGAGTGAAGTTAGAGTTCAACTCTTTCACGAAGCTTCAAGTTCTCTCTTAAGACTTCAAGCTCTCATTCCATCATAAGATAGGTGATTTTTCATTTATAAAGTCTCAGTTGTAATTAATGAATCAATATAAACCACTCTAATTGAACGCTCTTGAGAGATTCATCCAATCAGACGGTTTTTTATGTATATTTGAGTGATTTAATGATTTTAAAATTAAGTAATTTTAAATTATATAGGTTCGTCTAGTCGAGACTCTCAATTTAACTATAGGTTCGACAGATTCAACTTCCGTTTGACATTTCAATATGTCAAAAAAAGCTATCAAAAGAAGTTTAATGGCATTATCGGGGCATGATTTGATTCATATTTAACTATTTTTTATAAGATTAGGTCCATTTCGTCGAGCCGGCCAATTTGATTTTATATTTGTTGAAATTAGAGTTTTGAATGACTCTTAATTAAAATTTAAATATTTATTGTGCAAATGATTGTCTTGAGCTCTATATTATATTATGTTGGATGTAAGAAATTTGAGTAGAAAAAACATTATCCTAACATTGATATAGAGTGAGCAGCTTAGTTTCCACCGAATGCTCGCAATACGAGCTCTATATTATTTTATGTTGGATGTAAGAAATTTGACTAGAAAAAACATTATCCCAACATTGATATATAGTGAGCAGCTTAGTTTCCACCGAATGCTCGCAATACGGAACCTGACATGACATTCTACAACCACATGGGTCGTATAATCCACTCACACGACGACAAGGCATGAATATTTATTAAGCCATAATTACACGATTAGCCACTAATCTATGACACGTGTCATTCATAATCCTGATTAGCAACCTGGCGTCAAGTTAAAACCAGCTCATCATCTCGACACGTGCCGTCATCAGATATTAAATTGCCCTTTGATTTTTTTTAAATTAAAAATAGAATGCTTTAATATAAAATATTAAAAAATAGCTATAAAAAAACTCAATAGTAATATTTTTTAGGTGATGTGGAAAATCATACGTTATAAATGTAAAATATAAAAATGTAGAGGTTAGATGTGTAAATACATAGGAATTGAACGGTGTATATATAAATGACATGCCCCCAAATTGTTAATTTAAAACATAAATAAGAGGACTATTTCAGCCAAAAAAAGATAAAAAATGACACGGATAAATATCCAAAGAGGACCATTTTAACGCTTTTTATGTATATACCAATCATTTGTTTATGATTATTGGACTAATCTTATTTTTTAAAATATTTAATAAAAAAACTCGGTCGCCTGAAAAATCGTGGCTGGCTGTTAGTGTTGTTTTATTAAAATAAATAAGATATTAATTATAGGTCTGTAAACGAGCCGAGCTGAGCGAGCTCGTGTTCAGCTTGTTCGAAATAGCTCGTGTTTGAAATTGGCTTGTGAATAGTGTGTTACTGTTCGCCTCAATTTAAATATTCGTGCTCGTGTTTGGCTAGTGTTCAGCTCGAAATTGGCTCGTAAAAATTAAATTAAAAAAATAGATATAATGTGTGAGATTTGAACCCGGGCCAAATGTATACAAAAGAAGGTATTCATCACATTATCACACGAGATATTATGATTTAGATTTAAATATAAATATATATAATATATTATTATTTAAATAATCTGTGCAATATATTATTATATAAATAATTATATTTTTTTTTTTAATTTCGAGCTAAAATGAACCGAACATGAGCGAACAAAAGTTATTCTTGTTCGGTTCGTTTACTAAACAAACGAGCCGAAAACGAGCTACATAACGAGTCGAACATTCATGTTTTTTTTACCGTCCTACTTAATTATAATTAATATTAGTTTTTAAAAAAAATGATCCAAAAGGAAGAATGGAGGATAAATGAGGTTTGGCACATAGAAGCACAGATCTTGAGATGATTCAACAGTCTAAAATGAATGAGATACAATAAAGAAGATGACACTTCATCAATCGAACATGAGCGAACAAAAGTTATTCTTGTTCGGCTAGTTTACTTAACAAACGAGCCGAAAACGAGCTACAAAATGAGTCGAACAGTCATGCTTTTTTTTACCGTCCTAATTAATTATAATTAATATTAGTTTTTAAAAGAAATGATCCAAAATGAAGAAAGGAGGATAAATGAGGTTAGGCACACAGAAGCACAGATCTTGAGGTGATTCAACAGTCTAAATTGAATGAGATACAATAAAGAAGATGACACTTCATCATAATAATAATTTAAATATTATTAATTTTTGTTCTATTTACTAAACGAGTGATATAATATTTTTATTATTGCACAAAAAAAAATTTACATGTATATCTCATAATATATTATAATATTTTTTGTATTTCAAATACATCAAAATATATTTATTTCTCTTTGAAAAAATAATATTAAGCATCTTTTTACTGTGATTTAAGGTTTTTGCAAATTTTATTTTATTTGTTTTTTTTTTTTGAAAAAAAATATATTTATAACATTGCAATAATATTAATAAATATTATTTTTTCGCAATTAAAATGTATTATTTTTGTATTTTTCAGGTCTTCGATGACCATTGATGAATATGCCCAATTTTAACGGGCACAAATGTTGTTTGGGTTGACTTTGTTAAGCAAATGTGTGTTTTTTTTTAATACAGCCCATTATCTTGTCTAGCCTGAAATATTAAATATATTTTAATATTTCTGAGAATTTTATGAAGAAATAAAATATTAACTAGATGGGGTTATGTGCCCCACATCAGTTGTTGTATGCTACACAAATGGATGAACCAAAAAAAATATTTGAATAATGCATAAAAAAATGTGTTCATGCTGAGCCTGTCGAGATCTAACGGTCCATTGGGGATAAATCACGATAAAAGAGGACCCATTAATAAAAGGACCAAAGGTCCACTTATCTGATTAGATGTTTTATTTTGAGTCAAAGCAAACAAGATAAAATATGACCTAGTCACGAAGGCGGTCAAATTCGAACCCATTGGAGTAAAACAAGACCGATAGACATCTAAGCACACCTCTATAAGAAAGTCGATCGAACACCCCAATCTACCTTCCAGTAGATCCGACACGAGGATCTAGTCCCTCGGTATCATCAATCAACCACTGAATGGCTACATGCGAACCATCATCAGAGATTGAGATTTAACGATGCTACAATAAGTCTTAGTCATCCCCCAAGCTCTCCTCGTTAAATAGCGAGCTAGTTTTTATAGTCACAGTGGTTTATTTTCTGCCCGACAATCCAACATCGTTTAACTGACAGGAGTTCCTCACCCAGGATCTAGTCTATCCTATCAACAATGACAGCTAACTTGACAATGTCGGCCCAGCCCATCCAACCGAATCGGCCTTACCAAGTTGAAGCCTAATAAGACCGGCTGACCGATCGAGAATGTAGCTGAGCGATGGGTTCACATATGTAATACACTCATAATATCATGTAACAACCTTCGTTAAAGTGGAGAGAATAATGTAATATTACATATTGTATCATCTCCCGTATAAATAGAGAGTTTGCTTTATGAAAAATGGATGATAGACAAGAGGCATTTCATTATTATGCACATTTCTCTATGTGTGTGTAACTCTCATAATTTCTCATTTCTTACGCTCTATTCCCTTAAGGTCTGATTGAAGAACAAAATTCATATTTAACATGAATACATATCATTAATGAGTGAAAAGTAGCTGAACCCATAACTTAATTACTCTTCCACTCGATGATCCATTAGACACTTGTCGGTTTGATGAAATCGGGTCACACTTCAAAATTATTCTACCAGCTCAACCGATCGATCCAATCAGCCTGTCAAATCGACCAAATGGACTCATGGATCGAATCAACTTGCCTAATTTGTCTACCGAGTTGATAGAAATAAGCTCATCACTTAGCCTTTGATATGCATGCTTGAGATTTCCAATTGGGCTTGGATTTGAGTCGCACATTAATTGCGAATTTCTCAATTGGGCTTGATTATGTGCTGACGTATAATTAAAATTAAAATTTAATATCAAAATTGCAAATTCATTGGTGGCGAACGGACGGCTGTGATCTGCTGTCTGTGCGAGGAAGGAGGGAACTCTATTTATACCCGTGGTCATCACTGTCCTTCAACTGTTTGTGAATTTGTACGAAAGAAGCAGTGGCAGGCCGGAATTTTGGATTTTCAGTTTGAAGGGAAGCTGCGAGGAAACTTCCTAGATTCCGTCTCTCTCTCTCTCTCCGCCTCTCGTCTTTCGTGCGGGCTGAGCGGGGCCAGCGCGGTGGAGATCGAGCTTGCTGCACGCTGCTACAACATTTGAGGGGTAGAAAAAAGGACAGGTGGAGGGTGGCTGCAATCGATCCGTTGAGTTTGGGAAAGGAATGAGCTGTCCAGCTCGCAGTTGGGTTGAACAGAGAGTACAATTGGTGCAGGGAAGGTGAGGAGGCGAGAGCTGCGATTCTGTGGGGTTTCGATCCTGGGAGGTTCGAGACTGGGAAAAGCCTGGGCTATGCTTTGCGTTCCAATTCTTTATCATTTTCTCTCTGTTTTCCTTGTTTGAAGCTGAATCAATCGTGATCTCTGGAGGTGTGCACGTGCACGTAGTTGCATAGCTTGTCACCTTCCATGCTTTTTGGCTTGCTCTGTGCGGGTGATTTTGTTTCTTCTGTATACGAGATTTGTTTTAATTGAAGATTCGAGAGGCCCGGTTTCATCTCTCCTGAGGAGTGGATCGCCATGGAACAGCCTTCGCCGAGCCGATACCAGAGACACTGTGACGAGGAGACGGGTAACCAGGGTGGTATTGGTGGGGGCAACGGAGAGATCTGCGTCTCTTACGATGCCTTTGACATTCCGCCGAAGAATGTACCTGTTGAGCGGCTCCGGAGATGGAGGGTACGTTGTTTCCTCAATGCTGATGCCATATCTCATTATTTTGCGTCTACATTGCGCTGTGGTTTTGTTGTGAAAACAGGTTTTGGTTTAACTACTCATTTTTCTGCGTTTGGAGATATTTTATTTTTTATTTTTTATTTTTTTGTTGCGCCATTTTGGAATCGGGACGGATGGTTGGGATTCCTTCGAGTCTCGGGGATTGAGTTTGTTATTTATGTGCGGATTCGAAAGATCATTCGTTCTGGTCTCTCCAGCTTAGAAGAACTTGTGAATGCAAATCGAATAATAAATGGAGATGGAGGTTTAAGCCAGGATGCGAGCTTGCCGGGGAATTCTGCTGATTGCTGATGCTCTTTCTTCGAAATACTTATTAAAATTATAGATATAGGCTGTTGAGCTGGGGAAAAAATGAAAAGGATTGATAGCTTAACAAGGGCTAGTTTCTTAGATGTTATTTTCTCAACTAACTGTTAGTTTTTATTCTATTACGGCTGCCTATCCTGCTCTTCCTGTTTAAAGTTGGGGTTTTTAAATATTATATCTCATACTTTTACTTTTTGTCTAGTATGTAATGCTCTTACTCATCCCCATAGTCATTGTTTTCCCAATAAGTTTTGATTTAGACCACATGCTGGCTATGCTTATTCTGCTAAGTGGTAACCACACATTAAGCAAATGACGTCCGTATAATCTGACAATTTGAATGCAAACATTTGTTGAACTGATGAGTTATGCGCACACCTGCTAAAAAGTTGAGTTTTAAATAAATCTAAAAATGACCATGAATGCTGGTCATTTATGTAGAAGTAGGAATGTAAATGAGTCAAGCTTGAGCAAGCTGAGAGCTTGTTCGTGTTTGGCTTGTTTGAAAATGGGCTTGGTTCTATTTGGCTTGCATTTAAAATTATTTGTGAATAAAGTGTTTGTGTTTAGTTCGTTTAAAATCAAATCGAACACTAGCCAAATATGATCTTTGCAGATAGAGCTTAAAAAAAATATTCTGAAAAATAATTCCAATCGAAAGAATTGAACTCCCAACACATATCTTACATGGGTTACAATTTAGAATTTCCAAGCATTGCACTATAATATAAATATTATAAGGCCAAATATCAAAATGATGTGATATTAAAAAAATAATAATTTTTTTTTTTGTGTATAATCTTTCTTGTTATTCCTTTTTGGGTTTTTGTTGAAATGAAGGAAAAGATTGTGCGGGATTTTGGAAAGATCTTTTCATTATATGAGTCAATATCAAGCTGAAAATGACAGAACAAGGATCTGATAGTGTTTCGCTCGCCTAATAAACCAATCGAACAAAATTTTCTTAACAAGACTAACATGTGTTGTTCATGAATGACTAGCTTTGTTGACAACCCTATGTAAAGGGACGAGTAGAATTGGTTAAAATGTCCATCAAAACCCAAGCTCACGAGTTTGATTTATGGAAGAGACCGCTCTACAATATACAAGTAAAACTATGTACATCAACCCCTTCTCCTTGCATTGATGAGAGCTTCATCCACCAAGCATGCGCTATTTTTAGTGATTTATTTGTTTTGGTCAAAATATTCTCTGCAACGTGAGAGTGCATGAAAATAAGTATTTTCTAGATGTTGTAATTTGGTATGTATTGCTAGTTAATATTGATTTGTTTTTTCTTATATCTGGGTTTCAATTTTCTAACAAAGATGTTACTTGACAGCAAGCTGCCCTTGTGCTTAATGCATCTCGCCGATTTAGATATACATTGGATTTGAAGAAGGAGGAAGAGAAAGAGCAGCTAAGGAGGAAGATACGAGCACATGCCCAAGTCATACGGGTATCTTATTTTAATCAATATTTGTGGTTGAATTGCTTTTGCTGTTTTTCCTGCTCATTATAATCATCTTTTGCTTGAATTGCTCAGGCTGCTTTTCTTTTTAAAGAGGCTGGTGAAAGAGAAGCATCAGGTGGTTCAATCTTCATCATCTATCTTCATCTTTTTTTATGTTTCTTGTGCTTCAGTGTTTTAAAACTATTCTGTTAGTTGATCAGGTAGAAATATATTTATTATTTTCTATTCTGGTATACTTTCTACCTTTTTTCTCACCCAAAGCTTGCTTAGATTCTATATTTTAATGATGAATTCCTTTTTATGATTCTTTGAATGCACACACTCAGCTATGATTATGTGGCTTCTCCTGTACCCCTTTTCCCCTCCCTACTCCAAATAGATTTTGTTAAGCTTCTTTGTAAATATATGTATTTTTTGGGACAATATTTGAAAGATTTAATGTTCAATTTCTTTATTTTATTTGTTTTCTGATCGACCTTCTCTATATATTTAATCCATGGGTGTTTATAGGCAAATCTGGTGTAGCACCGGCAGTGCCTATTGGTAGTTATGGGATTGCACCTGATCAGCTCACTACAATGACCAGAGATCATGATATGTCATCTCTTCAAGAATATGGCGGGGCAAGTATCCATTGAGACGCGTTTTCTTTTGGGTTTCTTACTCTGTAGATATTAATTCTTTAGATTTTTCTAATAGGTAAAAGGCTTATCAAATCTGTTGAAGACTAATTTGGATAAAGGAATTGTTGGAAGCGATGCAGAATTATTACACAGGAGAAATACCTTTGGTGCAAATACATATCCTCAGAAGAAAGGAAGGAACTTTTTGGTATGCTTAATTCATATATCCGGTTCTTGATTTTTCTTTAAATTCCAGTTTAAAATAACTGTCTTTGGGGCATCATTTGTGTAATTTTGCGTACTTTTCTCATGCACAGGTATTTCTCTGGGAAGCTTGTCAAGATCTAACTCTTGTAATCCTAATAATAGCTGCTGTTATATCCTTGGTCTTGGGCATTAAAACTGAGGTGCGTTCATCTTGATAATTAATCTTCTAAGTTATGTTCCCTTGCTCTAAACCTTTTGCTAGTAGGCCTTAGCTGTTTCATCTGTATTTTGGTATATATCTTTTATAATCGGCCTTAACTGTTTCTTTTGGACTAAGGTACATCTTTTCTAGTATAAGTTGCACTTTAAGAAAACTCATTTACATTTAAACATTTTACCTCTTCCAGGCTGGACAGAAAACTTTTGAACAAACCTTTACATAGGCTCATATCTTGATAAGTTTTCAAGGAACTTAATTACAAAAAAAATTAAGCAAATTAATTCACCGTAAAGCTAGACAAGGTGCCTTCCCTTTTATTTTCTATTTGTTTTATTTTTTTTTTCTTCACCTGAAACATAACATATTTGGATGTTAATTTATTTCCTGTTTTCAGAAACATTAAACAGAAAACATTTATAAACAGGCTTCGACTTTTATAATTCAATGATATTTGATAAGCCATACAAACAAATTTTGGGATTTTTTTTTAATTTTAGTTGCTATCATCTTTCAAACACAAACAAATTGCGACAAAGGAATGTTTAATGCTGTCAAACATCACAGAAGTGATTCTTAAAATGCATTAATGCAAAATACATAATTCTTGGTTGGAAAATGCTTTATGCTCGATTGTGCCCTTGATCGTAGGCTTCTATTGCAAAATAAATAATTCTTGGTTAAAAAATGCCTTGAGCTCCATCAGCTAGGCCTTTCACGAGAACTGAGAAGAAAGGGGTTGGGCTTCAGTGATAAATGCAAAGGACAAAAAGGAAAAGGGAAACTTCATTTGGGAAATGAGCCAATAAGAGGAAGGGGAATTTTCAAAATTTTTGGAATACAATGGTTTGTTTTCAAATTCAAAAACAAAACATCAAGCCAAACATGTTTTTCCAACACAAGTAGATGTCAAAACTAAAAATTAAAAATAGAGCCTGAAATGCACTTAGAAAGCTGGGATTTGGGGGTAGATTCTGGAATACTAAAACTGGGACTTAGTCGACCACTAAAAGTGCTTTGCAGGATTTTTGCTAGATCATACCAAAACCAGATAACCAATCAGTACCACGGGTGATTACCACTTAAAAAGAAAGAGTTGTTCAATATGTTAGTTAATCAAAACTTAGGCTGGATTTAGATTTTTTGGGCTTGGGATTTAGCAATGCCGCTGAAATGAATTTGGTGGGATTTAGGCTATACCCTGTCAACTGCTTGCGCGAGTCTAGTAAACTAAATTTCTCAACTTGATTAGCACTTAAAAGCAGTATAGTTATTCATAATTGAAATAGAAGCCAGAGCAAGAGAATATCATACACACAGATGCCCATACTCTGCATCAAAAGTATGAATTTTTACCTTCCAGTATGCAAAAGAACCTGCTAAATGCAAGTTTGACTTGTACACCTGTCTAAAAGTCAGTTTATCTGGCTCTCTAATTCGGTGTAGTTGATGGGTCGAAATGGATTTATTTTTTAAGGATGTTTCCAATTAAATAGCTTTTCATGGTCGACAAGTATAATAGTTAATGGTATTTTTAATGATGTTGACTTTTCTTTTTCTTATAGTATTATATCTCTCATGCAATAAAATTTTACTCTTTCTGGCTGAATGGTAAGTCTACTTATTATTTACTATTTCTGTATTCTCTTATGTTCTCTATTTGGATTTCTAGGGTGTGAAAGAAGGATGGTATGATGGTGGAAGCATTGCCTTTGCTGTTTTCCTCGTCATTTTAGTTACGGGTATGCTACTTTGATTGAGATTGCCTTTGTCTATCCACATCCTATCTGTATGTTCATTTATTTATTCATATTAGATGCTTGTTAATATCATGATTCTATGAATGATTTAACCTTCTAGTTGATATGAAAACTCCAAAAGTTTATAAAGACACTGAGAGTTAAATTCACTTTCCTTTAAGAAAACTTGAAGCTAGCGGCTACCGGCTACCGGCTACCGGCAATCATCACAGAACATCATTAGTAATTGCTGTAACCGAACTATTTTGACTATTATCATCTAATCATTATAATTCAGGCAAAACTCTGCAACCCATTTTCTCCACTTAAAGAGAATAGTGAAACTCTTAGCTTGAAATATGTGATAATTATTTTGACCGAGCCAGACTCAATGTTTTTTTCTCTTTTCGGGTTTTCAACATAATATATTTGGCATTTCCTTTTTTAACGCTTATACTTACGTATGTATTGAATCTTCTTGCAATGCTAATACATTAATCTATCACTCTACTATTGTAATTTTTCTAGCAGGCAACAATGTTATTTTTGTTTTTTACATTTTAAATTCATCCTAAGTGCCTACTTTATTAGACTATGCTGTTACACTTGATTGGTAAGCTGCTGGTCCGATTGCGTTAAAAAAGATTGTTTAGCTTGTTGAAAACTTGGTGTAAAGTATCTACATGTAAAAATTCTTTTCTGTGTTAAATTCAAAGTTTATTAGGCTACTTCAAAGTTTGTTTTCTTCACAAACCTAATAAATTACAAAGGTTTGCTTTATATTGGAATTTTTTTTTCTGTCAATCGAATGAAATTTTTATTGAACTTGTTAGTGCGTTTTATTCTGTTATTTCTTGTAGCTACCAGTGATTATAAGCAATCTCTTCAGTTCCAAAATCTTAATGAGGAGAAGCGGAATATACATTTAGAGGTTTGTTGTTATAAATGAAAAGTAATAAGATAATTTAATCACAATGTTTTTACAATAGAAATTTAGAGAGATTAGATGTGGTCTTCTTCATGCTCAGGTTATTCGAGGTGGCAGACGAGTTAGAATTTCAATATTTGATATTGTTGTTGGTGATTTAGTTCCGCTAAAAATTGGTGATCAGGTAGGTTTGCATGGTGAAGCTATTTCTTCTTTTCCCGTAATTTGTTTGTGCCTACATTATCTTATTATAATAACACTAAGTTAAAACTTGTTTTTTAAGGTTCCTGCTGCTGGAATTTTAATTTCTTCTCTTGCCGTTGATGAATCAAGCTTAACAGGAGAAAGCAAAATTGTGAGTTTCTTATTCTTACTGTCTGGTCTTTTCATACATATGTTTCTCATTAGTGGATGCAACAACAATATTGTAATTATTTCTTGCAGGTGCACAAGGATCTGAAAACACCTTTTCTGATGTCTGGATGCAAAGTTGCTGATGGTTATGGGAGTATGTTGGTGAGTTGTTTTCTTCAGCATCTTTCATAAGTTGTTCAATCTAGCTTTGATGACTTGAGAGCTTGAGAGTTGGTAGGACAAAAATTCCAGTAAAAATAGAAGAAATAATGGACTTACTAGCCAGGTTATTTCCATATAAGTTGGGAAATTTTTTCATGAGTTTAAGGAACGTTATTTTTTAAATTCTCAGTTATATATGTTTGCTACATGGAACAGTTTTCTTTGCAATATCTGATCATTTTAAAATTGAAGAAATTAGTTCTAAGAGAGCTCATGATCACCGTTGTGTGAGTTCTATTCAACTGGATTTCACTTTGAGCTCGGTTAGTTTAGTTTTACAAGAATATTTTTGTTCAGAATCAAATGTTCGAACAATTTTGATTTAATTTCAGTGGGACATGGCTTCTTCCTGTTGCCTTTTATCACTCTCAAATTATTACTTGTAGAAATTCAGTTAATTTTTTTTGTGAAGTAATATGAAGCATGCTTTGCATTGGATTATGAATCCTTCCGTTATTTTAGTTGCTTACTTTTATATATCTTCCAAATTATTCTGCAAGCAGGTCACTGCTGTGGGGATCAATACTGAATGGGGATTATTGATGGCCAGTATATCAGAAGACAGTGGTGAAGAAACCCCATTGCAGGTTTTTTTTTTTTTTTTATTCTTTGAAATAGTAATTTGTTTGCCTTTTTTTTTACTGTTATTTATGTCATCATTTTTTATTCATCTCAAAAGGTTCGCTTGAATGGTGTTGCTACATTAATCGGCATAGTAGGCCTTTCTGTTGCTGCTTTTGTCCTCGTAGTCCTCATAACAAGGTCAGTGGAGCTCATACAGAGCATCCATCCATACATAGCACTCAATTTCATACTTACATAGCACTTAATTCATATGTATCCTAAACTTTATCAGAGTTTTGTAATTTCACACTGAAGGCTGAACAAAATTTCAGATTCTTCACTGGTCATACAAAAAAGTATGATGGAAGTACTCAATTCATCAAGGGGCAGACGAGTGTGAAAGATGCAATAGATGGAGCCGTAAAGATTTTGACTATTGCAGTATGCATCCATAAGACAGTTACTACTTGGACCTTCCATATTATTCTAGTTAATAAGCTGTTGTGTGAATGATAATTAGGTGACTATCGTGGTGGTCGCTGTGCCTGAAGGTCTTCCACTTGCTGTCACGTTGACGTAAGTTTAAAATTTACGTATTTATTGATGAGCATAAAAATAAAAATTTTCCTTGATTAATTTACTATTTTGACTTGCAGACTAGCGTATTCAATGCGAAAAATGATGGCAGACAAGGCGTTGGTATGCTTACGATTTAGCAATGAAAGAATTTCCTTATTTGAGCTCATATACATATGTAACAGTTGTATTATAGGTGCGTAGACTTTCATCTTGTGAAACTATGGGATCTGCTACGACAATTTGCAGTGATAAAACTGGAACTCTAACTTTAAATAAGGTAATTTTTGTCCACGTTTCCATTTTTTTAGGAAAATTTACATCTAAGCCTATGCATGAAAATGTGTATTTTGCTTTTAAAAAGGTTGTTATGAGGGTATTTTGGATGTGGTGCTAAAGATTTGAGTGATATGCATGGAATTGTAAATACATAAGAACTGTGTGATATGTATGTAAATCCCCCTTTTTTATGTTTTTTAGTCATTAAATTTTAGCTTTCTTGGGGATTTAGAAAATTTGCAAGTTCGTATTCGATAGTTTCTACGATGCATACTGCTGTTGTGATGCAGTGCTTGAGACTCTATACTTCATAGTGATAACCCATGGCGTGCCATTATAATTAATACTAATAGGTTTTATGGTAATGACTAAGATGACTGTCGTGGAAGCACATGTTGGTGGAATGAAGCTTCCTGCTCCAGATGACGCAAAACAGTTATCTCCTTCTGTAAGTTCTCTATTGATTGAAGGCATCTCTCAGAATACAACTGGCAGTGTGTATGAGCCTGAGGTAACTTTGTTTTTTTCTTTTTTTAATTATTGCTGTTATTTAGATAACTTGATCTTTATGAGCTAGATGCTAACCTATTTTTTGTTGGAAACCTTCATATTTGAAGTAAACTGAATGTTTCTCTATTTCCAATAAATAACTGAAATCATTCCTTTGTTTTCAACTCATTGTGTGGTTTTGCTTTACTTTGACAAAAATCCATCTGTGAGAGATGTGTTTTGACTTCCTAAAACCATTCTTGTAACTATAATCTGGAATTTCTATATATTACATATGTTGTAATGCTTTTTCATTTTTTCCATTGTTTGATTACTTGATGAAGGAGATCATTCCTTAACATTTTTTGTGTGTTCATAGAATGGCACCCCTGAAGTTACTGGCACCCCTACGGAAAAGGCAATACTTTCTTGGGGGATTAAGGTACTGCACATACTCCTATGATGTTTATTTAAACTTTTTTCATGCATATCTGCTGACCACTGTCATCATCATTTTCGATTTCTATAGCTTGGTATGAAATTTGATGACGCTAGATCAAAAACATCAATACTTCATGTTTTTCCCTTCAACTCAGAGAAGAAGCGAGGAGGTGTTGCAGTTCATGAGGTAATTATTTCTTTTAACCAATTTTGACATGCCATAATTTGTATTTAGATCAACCTGTTCCTTTGTTCAAAGCACTTTATGTTCTTCTAGACTTCTTCCTTGCATAATTTATGCATATTTTGGTTTTGGTGTATTCCCACATTTTCCTTGTATCCATGAATTCAAAACCTATGTTTGTTGAAAATCCTTATGTGTTCCTTAGAAAGGAGAATCAATTCATAGAGGTGAAGAAGAAAGAAAACTTTTTTGTTCCATATACCACAAGCAAAATTGCAGGATTCTCTCTGCACTATTTGTAGACATACACGTTATTAAAAATAATAATTATTCCTACAAATAATTATAGAAATGTTGAACCATTCCTTTAAACCATTAATAGTTAACCTTAAAATATAAGAATGATAGCAAAGTTATATTAATTGATACCAAAATCATAGATTCCTGAGTAGAGATTAAGAAAAGACCTGCATTTCTCCAGGATCTATAAAATATAATTGGCCTAATAGTTTTATAATATTTAAATATCTATGAAATTTTCTTATCATATAATACTATTGAGATATTTTTTCCATTTTAATCATCCTAATTACAACTTTTCAAATTATATCGTAATCTATATCTTTAAATCCTAGTCTTAAATATGATATATTCGAGATATTTGAACCTATCTCATCTAACACTTTATTTACTAAAATTTGTTTTCTTTTCCCCTTAATTTCTCATTTTATAATGAATAATTCTGTCATTCCCTTGCATTTATTTGTACAATTTTCTTTAGTGCTCTTACTATGCCTCCTCTATTATTACAGGTAGGCTCTGAAGTTATCCATGTACATTGGAAGGGAGCAGCTGAGATAATCCTAGCTTCATGCACAAGCTGGATGGATTCTCATGGCCACCTCCAGGAAATGAATCCAAATCAGGTGACATTTTAATGTTCTCTGTGTTTTTTACCCGTTATATATAACCCTTTTTTTTCGGTTCACTATTTTATTAATGCCAACGTTGTTCTTTTTTTATGTTTCTATTTCATGATTTCAGATGGACTCGTTTAAAGAAGCTATTGAAGAAATGGCAGCATTAAGCCTTCGTTGTGTTGCGTTAGCATACAGGTTATTTGAAATGGAAAATGTACCTATGGAACAAGAAAGGGACAGTTGGGCAATGCCGGAGAATGATTTGATTCTGCTCGGTATTGTAGGGATAAAGGTACGTTGTCTAGTATCTGTTGTCTAGTATGAAGTTTCCTGTAATTTAGGTAGCACGATAAATATATATGTATATATATATTTCTTACAAAACCACAATTAAACTTGATATGCTTCATGGATCGATATTGGTAAAATGAAGAAGGTTAGAAAGATGTAAATGATGAGCTCAGGAAGAATAGATTGAGAAATGACTATTGATCGTGATGTGAATTAGTGCTTTGATATGAATAATGGAGGGTAGAATATGTAAATAGAATGAACAGAAGAATTTGGAAATGTGGAGAGGAGTTCAGTCAAAAGAGCTTTCGATATGTTTCGCGTTGATGAAAGTAATCATGCTGCGCATGTCCGGAATATTACATGATGCGTTAAAATTGTTCTACTTTTGCATTTGCTTTTACGTGTCTTATATTTTTTTTAGAATGAATATCATATTGCTTATACATCAACTATATGTAGACTCACTGCACTTTGTTAATCCCTCCCAATTAAAAATTTTGTCAGTAACTCCCGACTAAGTTAATATATAATGTAACATTCTCCAGTCGAATGAAGAAAATTTATTACGTTGATCCCAGTATAAAGCCAATGATGATATTCTGCAATATATATATATATATATATATTTTAAATTCTGTTATTCTATTTTTATTATTAACGAGTTTCATTTGTTGAGAACTTATGGAGTTATGTGCTACTGTTTTTTAACTCAAAACTGTTATGTTATATTGCCAGTAGGTTCAGCTCAGTGCACTTGTTTTATAGATACCTTTTTCTTCTATTCACTTACCTTATTTTTACTAATAAAGATCATTAAATTTATAGGATCCATGTCGGCCTGGCGTGAGAGATGCTGTCGAACTATGCACTAGTGCAGGTGTCAAGGTAATAGGTCAAATATTATTGTTTCCTAATCTGTATTGAAATTTTTAGAATTGGCTCAACAATTAAATTTTTGATTTTCTTTATAGCTGCAGAAGAAAGGTTCTTCTGATAATATATTGCTTGCGCGCTGCATAGATTTGGCTTTGTTTTACTTAAAAAGAATATGTTATGGATGAAGTTGGATTTTGCTTAACAACTGCCTCCAGAACGGAAAGGAAAAGAAAATTAAATATGAAGAATAGTAGTAATAAAAGCTACTCTTACTGCATTTCGTATTCTTTTCTTTAACAAAATAATGGAGGTGGAAATCAATTCAGATATTTAAAAAGCACTTATGGTTCCACATTAACAGGAAAGTAATAAGAAGTTGAAAGTCTCTTTGGGTCAGTTTCAAATTATTTTTTAATTTATTTTTGTTTTATTTATATTTTAATTTGAAATAAAATATATTTGATATGTTATAATATATATATATATATATATATATATGTTTTTAAACACTTAAAATAATGTTTAAATGTTTTGATTGTTTTTTGAACATTAATTTATTTTAAAAAAAGTAAAAACTTCTAAAATTTACCTAATCAAATATGTTTAAAATAAATAAATAATAGAAGTGATTCCAAACAAGCCATTAATATTTGTTTAACCAGTGTTAACGTGATCTTTTAGTTGGGAACATGTTCTTCTTGTGTAAGAACGTAATGTTTTGTGCTTCTTATGTACTGAATATTTTGATGTTAAATTTAGATTTTTTTTCCATATTAATTACTTCTTTCTGCTAAGTACTAAATAATTTGTGTATTGCTACTGTCTTTGTAAAGTCTTCCTTGCATGTGCCATGCGAGAAAATTCTTTCTTCTAAAAAAGGTACACAGATGATACTAATTATTCACTAATATGTAAACTAGGTTCGCATGGTTACTGGAGATAATCTTCACACTGCCAAAGCTATTGCCTTGGACTGCGGAATTCTTCAATCAGAAGAGGAAGCAATGGAACCGACACTAATAGAGGGCAAAGTTTTCCGTGCTTATTCAGAGAAAGCTAGAGAAGAAATAGCTGAAAAGATATCAGTAAGGCTGTTTGACAGAATCCTCACACTTATTTCTTGAAAACTATATACAGAAGCATTACAATACATAATTTTTTTTAGTTTTAAAGCCTTGCAAGTTTAGAAATTTCCTCTTTGATAATAAAGTCTTCTTTTTTATTTTCACTCCTCCAGGTGATGGGAAGGTCTTCCCCAAATGACAAGCTTTTGCTTGTCCAAGCACTGAGAAAAAGGGGTCATGTCGTTGCAGTCACTGGAGACGGTACTAATGATGCTCCAGCATTGCATGATGTATGATCAATCAAACTCCATTTAATTGTTGTATATTTATCTGATTTCATTAGGGCTCTGAACAATCCGATTTTGAGCTCACCGGGAGCTCACTGGGAGTCTGCTTGAAATCTGGATTGAATGCGGCTCGTTTAAGCTCGTGGTCCGTTGTATACTTGTATTCGATTTGAGCCATCTCAGCTTAAAATTAAATCGAGCTTGATCTGGCTCGAAATTGGAATGATCTTGGTCAAATTGAGCTATTTGAATTCATTTCCTCTAAAAAATCAAAACAAGTTGGTTCCTTTCAATTGATCGAACTTAAAATGAATGAATATAAATAAATTACACAAAAATCCTACCATTTGTGCATTTGAAAATTTTATTTAGCATTATATATATATATATATATATATATATATATATAGACTCGATCTGGAGCCAATTCGAGCTGATTCATATATTATGGCTCTAAATTGGCTCCAAAAAAAATTGATCCATGTTTTTGCTCATAGCTGGACTCATTTATTTAGATCTGATCTTGATTTGATCAAAAAGTTGAATCGATTTTTGAGCTATTGACAATTTTTAAGCTAAATTCTCAGCTCTTGATTTCACGTCATGTCCTCTACTATGATGTTGGATGACTTATTCAGCGTGTTTTGGACTTCAGGCAGATATTGGTCTGGCAATGGGAATACAGGGTACAGAGGTTGCGAAAGAAAGCTCCGACATTATTATTCTTGATGATAATTTCGCTTCGGTGGTGAAGGTTATATTGAATTTCTTGTTTTAGCTTTATCATGCTCTTACTCTATTTTTATGTTGGACGCTGATTAAACTTAATATTAATTCTAGGTTGTTCGGTGGGGCCGATCAGTATATGCAAATATTCAAAAGTTTATCCAGTTCCAGCTCACTGTTAATGTCGCAGCACTAGTGATTAATGTGGTTGCCTCAGTTTCAGCTGGTGATGTCCCTCTGAATGCTGTTGAGGTAGGAACATCAGGGGACAAACCTTTGCAATTTCTGATTCATTAGTATGATATTCCTAAATTATTAATATGCATCATCATGTTATGTTCTCATGATATTTAACTAATTGGGGAAACTTATATTTCAGAAGTTTTTTCTCTGGATGTCATATTTCCTTAGTGTTGCAATATTTCCAAAACTTTCTTAATTGTCAGTAATGCATGTTATTGGTACAATTAAAGGCTGAGTTTTGCACTACCTAAAGTAAATTTACTCACCTATTTTCACATATATGTTTCTTTTGTATCTAAGAATTATTTTAAGTTTAACTTTTTTTTTCTCTTTCATTACCAGCTTTTGTGGGTTAACCTTATTATGGACACCCTTGGTGCGCTTGCATTAGCCACCGAGCCACCAACAGACCATCTTATGAAGAGACCACCAGTTGGCCGGAGGTGAGTACCTATTCTACTGAAGTGAAATTAACTGAATGTTCTTGTTTTTATTTTTACTTGAGAAATATTTTGTTTAGTGCCATTTTTATATGTTTTATTTTTATATTTTTTTAAAATAAATTGGTTTGTTTTTAAAAACACTCAAAACATCTAATAGTTATTTTGAATATATATATATATATATAAGCTGGTTGCATTACTGTTTATAGAAGGTAAACCTATTTTCATATTGGCCTCTAGTTTGAATGCCCAAAGCAGCATTTTGCATTGGCCGAAATGCTTGATTTTTATAAATTACAGACCTACTGATTTTCCTACTGATTTAATTAGACACTCGAGCACCTATCTTTAGTTTTATAAATATGATATCATTGGCCTGTTAACTATGTTTTCCTTTTTGAGAAAGATAGTTAAAATTTTGTACTCTTCAGATGCGTGTTCTTCATAAACTGCATTTTTTTTTCTTATTTGTTTCTCCTTTTTATTTCAAGGGAACCCCTTATCACCAATATCATGTGGAGAAACCTCATAGTACAGGTATAGTTTTTCATCTTTTTTTGTTCTTTTTTAGTTTTGCACCATCTCTTTTATATGGGTGGTGGCTCTGCAATTTACCTCTCAACTATCATCAAATCCAGGCACTCTACCAAATAACAATCCTCCTCGTTCTTAATTTTGGTGGAAGAAGTCTTCTTGGTTTGTCCGATGAGACGCGAGAACGTGCAGATAAGATGAAAAATACCTTCATTTTTAACACGTTCGTCTTTTGTCAGGTAAAGGCCTTACCTGAATGAAGTTTTGAGCTGTTTTGTTGCAATGTTTGTTGAATGCTTCTAATCAATTAGTGCAACATTTTATCGTAATTGAAGATGACTCTCTGACTAACGTTTTACAGATATTCAATGAATTCAATGCCCGGAAACCAGATGAGATGAATGTCTTCACAGGGGTTACAAGGAACCGTCTTTTTATGGGAATAATTGGAATAACGCTAGTGCTCCAGGTGATGATTAATACTTTGGGGCATTTTCATACATACCACACAATTCCTATGAATTTTCATATCTAACACTCAAAACTTTACTTTTTACATTCATACTACCTAAATCTTCGATTTCACATAAAAAAACACCACTATTTTAACTTTTGAAAGATGAAAAATACATTTTTAGACCTTGGTTGGGTGGTATAAAGAGAAAAGTGTCAAAATGGTCCCGATTCTTTGTAAGGGGCCATTTTAATCCAACGACAACGACAACAAGCCTTTATCCTACTAAGTGGGTCTGCTATATAAATCCTTTTTCTCCATTATGTCCTATTGAGGGTCATATTTTCATTTAATTCTATAAATTAAGATCATTTTTTATACAAAACACCCAAATCTTTTTAGGTCTACCTCTACCTTTTTTTTGACACAAGTCAAATCTAAAACATCTGATCTGCCAACCTTATCATCAAATGGTCGATATTTAACGTGGCCAAACCATCTACACCAACCCTTTCACGGATATATTCATTTTGCATTTTGCCTCTAAGAGTCAAGCCAACATTCTGTGCCATAAAATATTGCAGGTCTCACCAGCATCTTATAAAATTTTTCTTTCTAAGTATAAGCGGTACTTTTATATCACACAATAGGCCCGACGCATTCCTCCACTTCAACCATCCAATTTGAATTCTACTAATAACATCCCCATCTATACCACCATCACTTTGAACAATAGATCTGAGACATCTAAAACTGTCAATTTAATCTCCAAAATATTTTAATGAAGACTAAAATAGTCCTCCAGGGGACACTCTCACCCCATATTACAAGAGTATAAATACAAATTGATACTTTATTCATGGTATAAATGTAAAAATTGAAATTTGGAATCATTAATTTGTAGCTAATGATTCCTTTGTTGACAATAATCTATGTGAATTTCCCTCAAAGAAAAAATTCTGTTTTTGCGCAGATTATGATCGTCGAATTCCTTGGGAAGTTCACTTCAACTATCAGGCTTAGTTGGAAGTTATGGTTGGTTTCTCTTGGAATTGCATCCCTGAGGTATTTAACTCTGCCCGTGGTTTCCTTTAAATTAAGTAAACTTTTCTCTCCAATCAATTTTTTCTCACATATCTGCTATGCAATTGTCACCACTACTTCTCATCAGTTGGCCACTTGCTGTTGCCGGAAAGCTCATTCCTGTACCAAAAACTCCTATTGGGGAGTATTTTCGGAGGTACTTCAAGATGCAAAGAAAAGAAAGCGAAGGTTGTTTTCCCAAGCTTATCATAAGTATAGTTGTTAATTACATATTCTAATATTGCACGTCACTTGAAAAATAGCAAATTCATGCCTTTATGATTGAAAATTCCATGAAAGAAAAGAAAAACAGACATGGAGATTATATCGAGCACACTAAATTCGAGCTACATTTAAGGGCTATTTGGTTTGCTGAAAAGGAATGTAGAGTAAAAGAAATACAATGTAATCAAAATGCAGTGTATTCGGAATATTTTAAAGTTGTTTAGTTGGAAAAAAATAAAATTGATGTACAACATGTTCGACGATAGCGGCAGCAGTAACTAGCGACGGGTGGCAGCCTAATGATGTTGGTAGCGAAAACACTGCATCGACGGGTGGCAGCCTAATGATGTTGGTAGCGAAAACACTGCATTTTGCAGCGAATTTGGAAATCGTCAAAATTTAACGAATTCGAAATACACTAATTCTAAACTACATGGTGAATTTCAAACCAAACGCCACAATTTTGTAGTCCCCTGCATTTAATTACTTTACACCACTAACCCCAGGGAAACTAAATAGCCCCTTATTGTAAAATGGAAGGCATTTGAGTGTTAATTTAATAAATATGTAAAATCTAAATGTTCTAACTGGCCCTTTTCTGCTTTGCAGCTGATGAATGTGATCAGCCGAGCGATTCAAGACCATAGGCAGCGAATCAACCGCTCAGTTTTATATGGCCAAATGGTACTTGTACTTAAGTATGACTACTACTAACCAACCAAACAATTTTTTTTTTTTTTTTAAGAGCAAAGATGATTGATGGATGAGCTTGGTAATGTGCAGCTAAGTTTATCCTACCCATCTATATGTTTTGTTGTGTCATATTTTGAATCTTCATATAATTTATATTTGTTGCTTTTGTTACTAAAGTTGGTGTACTTATTTTTAACCGTTTATGAAAGGTTTTATAATATTATAATATGTGTGGATGTGTTTCAATGGAGACTTGAGATTATAGTGTTTTTGCATACATGGTTTTTTTGATACTTTTGCAATGGCTGTCATGATGTTAAAAAATGTATTCTAATACTGAATAAATATGAGGATTATGAAATTATATTGCTAAAATAAGTGTAATGTATCATATGTGCGGTTATCCAGAAGTTGTGCAGTGTCAGACAAGACTTGTATCAAACATCAACACGGTTCCGACAGTTGTTAGAGATGGTATATACGTGTTTGATTTAAATAATAGTTAAAAAATGATGTGCAGGACATGCGTGTTTGAGATTAATGAATAAAAAAAATTTAAAAATATTTTTGACTATAATTATAATATTTTTTTTGTAGAATTAAAAATATTTAAATATATATCAATCAATTTTTATGTATTTACATATCTAACATCTAAATTTTAATTTGTAAATATCACTTATATATATTAAATTGAAAGTAGGGTTTAGTATAATATAAAATAATATATATTTATTTTTTATATTTTTTAATTGTTAGATATGTACATACATATCAAACAAAGAAGTTAAAGATCATTTTATTTTTTTCATGAATGATTGATTAAGATAATTTAAATTTTGGTATAATATAAAATAATATATATTTATTTTTATATTTTTTAATTAATTTTAAATCAACTAAATTTGTTTTCGAAAATAAAAATATAAAAATCATATCAATTAAAATAGAAAATGAAAGTAATGTAGAACTAGCTCTTAATTTTTGGAAGTTAGTGCCATAAAATTTTTTTATTTTTTTATATTATTCGTAATATTGTGTTTATTTAATATATATAGTAATAATTTTATTATAATGATGTGTTCAATTCATGCTCGTGTCCTATATCTTTAATAACAGATGTCTTTCATCCATGTCTGTATCCGTGCAACATAAGCAACTATATTGTACACGATGCATTTATAGTAATTACCAACTTAATTATTCTTGAATTCGATTTAGTAAACCAAACTTTTCACTCCTCTAATTAAGATAAGTAATGAAGTATTTAACCAAAAATAACTTAGGTCTCCCTCCCTTTCAATGTCTTATAAATTTTAGGAGCACTTAAATAATACCACTCAATTCATATGTACTTACATGTATATAACACTTAAACTTAAACTTTTACGTACACATCACTTTACATATGCATTGGAAAAGTGACGAAATCCTATTTGATATCGGAAACAACATAAAACAGAAACCTACACTTAGGAAACAGTTTGGATCGAAAATCTCAAGAAAGGGAAAAATGCATAAAGCGTACTAAACGATGGTTGAACACCGCGGGCCACTCCAGAACACTAAACAAACTTCTTAACCCGAAAAAATACGGGACATGTTCTTAAAACCAATAAAAATATTTTTCAACCTCAGTCCACACAAAACAATCCCTATTTATAGAGGCTAGACTCTCCTAATTACAAGTGTATCATTCTAAAATATAGAGACACAACAACAAACTAAACACATATACCGAGACATGTATACTATAAAATAAAACTCTAGCTCCTGTGTCACGATTCTACTTAAATCATGCTTATAGCCAAACAAACCTTTAAGATTAAGATTTAGGGTTTTAAGCGAAAGGATAATAAAAAAAGTTTCATCTTATACATACTATTATGAATTTCTTCTCAAATCTAAAGCACATTATCAAAACAATCAAAATAAATAATTTTTTTTTCCAAATAGGAAAAGAGAGAAGAGCCCACTAACTTGCATGATTACCCTCTATTTGCAGAGCTTGAGTCTCTTGAAATAGGAGGAAACAAATGACTTTTGATAAGGCCTAGTGGCAAGGCAAGTAGGTATGTTCTCCGGTTGCTCAATCCATAGCGTGTGCTCTATTCCTTCAGCCCTCAGCTTCTCCGCTAAGTTCCTTATCTGTGCCTCTCCCTTAACCTCCATCGTCACCTATTAACAAAAGAACATATTCATATATACGATCAAAATAATCCTTACAGATTTTAAAAATCGGACTGACCAATTTGACCAGTTCAATAGTGAACCAATACTTTAATCGGTTCAGTCCAAATTCAGAAACGATTCTGCATAGAATTGAGATTGAATCAGTCAAAACCGAAGTTGAATCAGAGAGCCTGTGAACAAGTTCGGTTTTTAAAGAACGGGTCAGTTCAAATATTATTCAATTTTAGTCTTTTAATTTTAATTGGATGACCAAAAAATAAAATATTTAAATTAAAATAAGAGAAAATACCAAATCTTAAAATTTTTATTTAGAATAATATCCAAAAGTATAGTCATAAATTAAAATATTATTTGTCAAATCGCAAAAAAAATAATATTAATATATCATTATTCTATTATTTAAATTATATTTAAATAATTAAAATATTTATTATATCATCAGGTTCAACCTTCCGGTTATACCCCAATTGAACTATAGAAACTAGAATCTTTACCTCTTTCGATTCGATGCCTAATCTAATTTTCATAATCTTATTTTGTAAGAGTATTTATTTTAAGGAGCATTTCAATAAATATCACCCAATTACTATGCATTTACAATTTATGCCATCCAAATCGTTCACTTCACACACACACAAAAAAATTGTATACATATCACACTGTTCTTATGTACTTACATATCTCACACCTAAACCTTAATTATGTAAAAATTTTATTTTAATTCTAAACATTTTCAATTGCACAATTCACCTGCAATCATTCAAATTCGAACTAATTTGATATTACCATAAATTTTGCAGTTTATTTTTGCAAAAATTAGTAGGAGAGAAGCTTTTCATGAGAGCATTATGAGCTCAAATTAATAAAATTGTCATTCTCTAAAAGGGCCAATATGTTCTCATGAAAAGCTTTGCTCCACCATTAAGTAAGTAGTTAGCAATAAAATGGGACATTTACATAAATACCATACAATCCTTATATATTTACATATTTAACAACTAATCATTTGTATTTGCATGTATACAACTTAAATCTTTAACATCAATCAAAAATATCACAATCACTATCCTTTTAAAGTGAAACGCGCCTTTTTCATGCATAGGTACATGAAACCAAGGTTATAAGTATAAATATCAAACTTGGGGCGTTAGATATATAAACACATAAGAATTGTATGGCCTGTATATAAATTTCCCTAAACTGATTCAAACTTTGGAGGTTAAACATGTAAATAACATAAGAATTATGTGGTATACATGCAAATTGCTCTAATATTTAATACTTTTTGCTTATATTATCTTAAAGAAATCAAGTTTTTTTTTGAGCTTTGGTAGCCCTCTTAAGCTTGGGGAAAAATATTACAATAAGTGAGTCAAGTCGACTTGTGAGTCTGCTCGAGCTCGGCCCGATAAGTGGCTTGTGAACTGAGCTCAATGATCAAGCAAGTCAAGCTCAAACCAACCTCGACTCGACTTGTTAGCTTATGAGCAGGCTCGTTCAAGAAAATATTAATATAAAATACACTCAAAATATACTAAATATCAAGAACTTATCTTAAAAGTATTAAAAATGTTTTAAAAGTAATATTTACTATTGTATATTACTGTGTTATTTATCTTCTAATTGTTCATTTTATTTGTTATCTTATTATAAAGCTAGCTTAAATTAATATCATTTTGTCTCTTTTATCATAAACAAGCCGGCTCGAACTCGTAGACTAAAGTTTGAGCACAAACTCGATTAAATTAATCAAACTCAAGCTCAAGCTGAAGGTGGCTCGAGCTCAGCTCGACTTGTTTACACCCCTATTTTGGAGGGACACTTTAATACTAATCAGCCACCGGGCTAAAATGAAACTCAATGCGGCATTTCATCGAACACACCTTGTTCATGGAATCCGTATTTGCATGTATACAACCTAAATTTTTAACATCAATGAAAAATATCACAGTCACTATCCTTTTAAAGTGAAACAGGCCTTTTTCATGCATAGGTACATGAAACCAAGGTTATAAGTATAAATATCAAACTTGGGGCGTTAGATATATAAACACATAAGAATTGTATGGCCTGTATATAAATTTCCCTAAACTGATTCAAACTTTGGAGGTTAAACATGTAAATAACATAAGAATTATGTGGTATACATGCAAATTGGCTTCAAACTTTGGATTATTAAAGAATTAAATTAAACAATTGAAAAGAAAAGATTTTGAGAATCATGATGATCATTTACTCAAATATGTAATTTGGATTAGGGGTGTAAGTGAGTCAAGTCGACTTGTGAGTTTGCTCGAGCTCGGCCCGATAAGTGGCTTGTGAATTGAGCTCAATGATCAAGCAAGTCAAGCTCAAGTCAGCCTCGACTAGACGTGTTAGCTTATGAGTCAGCCCGTTTAAGAAAATATTAATATAAAATATACTCAAAATATACTAAATATCAAGAATTTATCTTAAAAGTATTAAAAATGTTTAAAAAGTAATATTTATTATTGCATATTATTGTGTTATTTATCTTCTAACTGTTCATCTTATTTGTTATCTTATTATAAAGCTAGTTTAAATTAAATATCATTTTGTCTCTTTTATCATAAACAAGCCAGCTCAAATTTGTAGACTAAAGCTGGAGCACAAACTCGATAAAATCAATCAAACTCGAGCTCAAGCTGAGGGTGGCTCGAGCTCGGCTCGACTTGTTTACACCTTATTTTGGAAGCGCTCATCGCGTACGGATACCGCATGCAAATTTGTGTGCGATGTCCAATCTGGACCACTGAAATACTTTTTTTTTTTTTTTTTTTTTTTTTTAAATTTTTTTTTTTGCATACCACTCTAAAATTTTTTAGGGTCCTGATGGGACACCGCACGCAATAATTTTCCCTATTGAGCGACACTTTAATACTAAAATGAAACTCAAAGCGGCATTTCATCGAACACACCTTGTTCATGGAATCGATGTTGGAAGCAGAGAGATAGGCGGCGGTTTCGGGACAGTGGCGGTGGTTCCAGATGGCGGCGACGGCGGCGTGGCAGCCTTGTGTGACGGTGCTCCCCAGCGGCCATTCGTCGATCAGATCACGCCGGAGAACGACGTACTGGACAAGAAGATCGCTGGGCTCTTTCACGCCACCGGAGCTCAGAGAAGAAAACTCCATTGGTGCTGCGGACGAGGTGTTCGTGTTTCTGCGAGGAGGAGTGAGCGCTGAAACCCTAGATCTTAGCGAGGGGAGGGTTGAGAATTTTAAGGCGGGGGAATTAATAAGAATCATCGGGTCGGTTTTTTTCATGGGAACAATGTTTATTTATCCAAGTACTCTTTGTTTTATTTTATTTGTTCTTTTTAACTCCAAATAAATCAATTATATATATTATTTATATAATAATATATTATATATATTTTTATCTAACTTTAAATTATAATAATAATTCATGCAGTTATGTGATTCACTCCTATGTCTTAATTTGTGCAGATTCAAATCCAGCACTCAATATCTATTTTTTTAATTGATTTAAATATAGTGCCAAGCACGAACAAGATGTAAATCGAGCCAAACACGAACAAACACTCTATTCATGAGCAATTTCCGCCACGAGTTAATTTCGAATGAGCCAAACACGAACAAACACTCTATTCAAGAGCAATTTCCGCCATGAGTTAATTTTGAATGAGCCAAACAAGAGTTACGTCTGAGCTCACTTAAGCTTAGCTCGCCCTAAACATATAGTGACGCCTACATATCACCCAATTGTTATGTATTTACATACCTAACATCTGAACTTTATTTCTTATGTTTATAACATCTAAATCTTTCATATCACATTTAAAAAATCACTATTTAAACTTTTAAAAAGTGAAATGCACATATAAGTTACACATGCAAAAAATTGAAGCGTCGGTTTTATATTAAACACAAAGTACATCAGAGCGGATTTACATTAGTTTAAAGGGCCATTTACATACATAACATCCAATTACTATTTATTTACATATCTAACACCTAAACTTTATTATTTACATTTATACCGCCCAAATCTTGCCCAAATCTTTCATATCAAATCTTTCATATCACATTAACATATCCCTACGTTTAACTTTTTAAAAAGTGATACACGTCTTTTCATGTATACTTAAGATGATATATATGTAAAAATTGATGTTTACAAACTTTGACATAAAAATTCATACAAATTAAAGTACACAATGAGCAATTTATAGCACAAACATCAACTATAACAGCTGTGCATATTACAGGATTCAGCTTTTTAAATAATCTAAAGCTAAATCATTACAGCAAGCAGCAAATATGAAATAAATTTAACTAATCATGCTACAAATTTTAACTGCAGTTAAGTTAACCAGAGGAGATAAATATATGTACCAAATTTGTAGAGGAAGCTTGAGTTAGAAGCACTTTTTGTGAACAATTGAAGGTCCGGTCTCATCATATTCTGCCTTTGTGATGTGCTGATTCTGTGGGAAAACAACTTTGGCAAGAATAGCACCGCCCATCCAAGCTGAATTGTTTGGCAAATTTTCAGGCATGTACTCTGGTGGCTGATAAGATCCAAAGAAGAGAAGGTATTTCAGATCAACAATTTGAGAAAAAGTGAAATTTACATAAATACCACACAATTTGTATGTATTTACATATCTAACACCTGACTGATGCTTGATGTTTATGCTAACACTAAGTGATTGGAAAGGGGTATTGCACTTTCAAGAAGTTAATAATGGCGCAGTTTTTTTACGTATTCTGGTGGCAGATAAGATCAAGTAGAGGAGGCATTTCAAATCAATAATTTCAAAGAAGAAAAATTTGCATACATATCAAAAAATTCTTATTTATTTACATATCTAACACCTAAAATTTGATGTTTACACCCATAACGTAATATTGGCATCATAAACATACGCACGAAAGGATGTATCCCCGCTTTTAAAAAAATAGCGATGGTGGTGGTATTTTTTATGTGATCTCAAGGATTTGAGAGTTGCAAATGTAAATATGAAAGTTTAGGTGTTAGATATGTAAATACATAAGAATTGTGTGGTATGCAAGTAAATACCACTTTCAAAAAATAATAATAATAATAAAATAAAACTCAATAGTTGTTTGGTAAACTTTCAGGCGTGTATTCAGATGGCTGATAAGATGAAGTAGAGAAGGCATGTCAAACAAACAATTTGAAAAAAAAAAAAAAGAGAAATTTACATACATACCACACAATTCGCTTGTATTTACATATCCAACACCTAAAGTTTGATGTTTACACTTATAACACTCTAGTGTCATAAACCCATGAATGAAAAAGGTGTATTTCACTCTAAAAAGTTAAAAAATGGAAGTGTTTTTTATGTGATGCTAACATTTTGAGTGTTATAAATGTAAACATGAAATTTTACGTGTTAGATATGTAAATACATGAATTGTGTGGTATGTATGTAATAATAAATAGAATAATAAATAGAACTCAATAACTTGTGCCGTTAAATTCCATTAAGAAGGCTTATAGGAACTAAGATACCTTAACAAGAGAAGGTCGTATTGAAGAGGAGCACAGAACTGCCTCTCTTTGGAAACGCTCTTCAAAACCTGAATAAACAATTCAAACTAACTCAGAAGAGTTGTAATTAGAAGGCAAATCCATTGAATCAAGCATCCAAAAAGAATTTTACCTAACATTTTTTGTGCATTTACATATCCATCGAACCACACAAGTCTTGTGTATTTACATAGCATTTGAATCCTCATATTCACATGTATAACACTTAAAATCTTTAATATTACATCAAAAATATTACTATGACTAACTTTTTAAAAGTGAAAGCACCTTTTCATCGATAAGCTTATGACACCAAAGTTTTAAATGTAAATATCTAATTTTAGGGGTTATATATGTAAATATGTAGGAGTTGTGTGGTGTGTATCTAAATTTTCCTTTTTTGTATTTTGTGCCTATTTTAGCACGGAAGAAGCTGAGACACAGACAAATAAGTCGGGCAAATTCAAAAAGGAAGATTTACATGCATACCACTCAATTCTTATGTATTTACATATCTAACATCTAAATTTTCATATTCACATTTATAACACTAAAATCTTTAATATTACACTAAAAAAATATCACTAATACAAACATTTGAAAGTGAAAGTACCTTTTCAGGGATAAGCTTATGACACCAAAGCTTTATAAATGTAAATATCTAACTTTATATTGTTAGATATATATATATATATATATAGAAATCGCATGATGTGCATGTAAATTTTCCTTCTTTGTAGTTTGTACATACTTCAACACACAAAAAGCTGAGAAACTGACAAAAATGCTGGGTAAATTCAAGAAGGAAGATTTACATACATAACATTCAATTCTTATGTATTTACATATCTTACACCTAAAGTTCAATTTTAAATATACGCCGCCTTCTTTATGCTGAAAGGGTGTATTTCACTTTTTAAAAAGTTAACATGGTAAAATTATTTATTTTATATGAAAATTTTCAGTGGTATAAATGTAAAAGGCTAAATTTTGGTGTTAGATATGTAAATACAAAAGAATTAGATGTTATGTATGTAAATGCCCAATGCAAGAAATGTAGAAACCATATCACTTAAATAGTTCAATCTTATTCGATTATTTCCCTGACTGCTTCTCTTCACCTCTAACGTTTTATAAATGTAAATACTAACTTTAAAAGTTCAATCTGCTTCCTAATGTGCTTTCCCAGTCTTCACCTCAATTATTATGTATTTACATATCTAACACCAAAACTTGGATATTTACACTCATAATATCATGGTGCATAACACTATGAATGAACAAGTATATTAGTGGTAGGCATATAAATATGAATGTTTAGGTGTTAGATATGTAAATACATAAAAATTCAGGTATGTAAATAAATGCCCATTTTTTAAACGTTAATTGTTACTTTGTTTCTTTCTATCGGACATATTTGGCTGCTATTGTCCCCTTTTGCTTTTCTTACACAGTTTTTTAATTCTCTCCTAAAGTGCCTATTAGGTATTTCACTTTTTAAACTTAAAAATAGTGGAGTTTTTTGTGGAATGAAAGATACGAGTGGTATGAATGAAAAAGTATAATTTAGATGTTAGATATGTAATACATAGGAATTGGCTGGTACGCATGTAAATTGCCCCTAAATAAAAATGAATAAAGGGCATCAAACAAATAAATATAGCGATGATGAGAATAGTTGATTATTTTCACTGAAATTAATTTAAAGACACCATGGAAATATAGAACGTACCAGCCATAGATGAAGTACCGCCGCACAGAACAATGTTGTCAATAAGTTGTCGGTGAAGCTCAGGCGCGACAGCCGTGATACTTTGAAATAGCTGTTCAACAATCCCATTATCCTCCAATCCTAATATAGATGGTTGGAATAGAGCTTCTCCAACAATATACCTTTCCCTTTCGATCATTATAATCTGCAAACAAGCTTTAATTAGGCTCAGTTTGGGGGAGAAAATTTTTTTTTATAAATCTTTATTCAAAAGTAGTTTTTTGAAAGCCATGTCTTAAAGTTATTTGGATACAGCTGCGACATCTGAAAGAAAAATAGAGTTTTCTCAAAAGTGTTCCTATAAAAGAATTGCAGCCAAACAAACTTTCTGACTTTTCGTAAGTGCATAAGATATGTGTGGGATGTATGTAAATTTCCCATTTTATTAATAGTGTATCCAAAAATAAAGAATCAGGAGCAACGAACCTGTCCATCTGGAAGAATGTGCTTTTCTTTCTGACAAGAATTTAGTGTATTATCAAAGGAAGATTCATCTTCCGCACAGCATCCATATTGCTCTTTTAATTTCTCAACCTCATTAATGTCAATATGTACTTGTGGATTGGTCTTCCTGAGTTCCTGAGCGAGTAGATTTGTCAAATCAATTCCACCAATCTCAAATCTTTTGGAGGCTATATGCTGAACAGCACCTTCACAAACCGGTGCTATATCTGATAAAATAAAAAAAATAATAAAAATTGTAAATTTTTTAATGCCTGATAATTTTTTAAGAAAAAAATTACTAGTCTTCCAAATAATGTAGATAGAAAGATGAAGGCAGGCTTACATACATAACACTCAACTCCTATGTATTTATATATCTAAGACCTAAATTTCAATTTTTACATACATCTCATCTTACCTATGCATAAAAGGGTATGTTTCACTTTTTAAAAGTTAAAATGGTGGTGTTTTTTTATGTGAAAAGAATAGAAAGATTTAGGAGGTATAAATGTAACTAGTAAAGTTTAGGCTTTAAATATGTAAATACTTATGTATGTAAATGTCCAAAGATGAAATCAAACCAAATATCAAAAAGAGCGAAGTGGCAAACATTACATAAAACAAAAAAATTTAATTCATTTTACTTATGATTACTTATGAAGCATTCTCTTAATTCAAAATATACTTATTAATAATGCAAAACAATGTGCACCACGGCTGAACTGAGGTTTATGAGCGAAAAAATGTATAATTCATTTGTGGTTTACTTATGTTATGGTGCAATACATAGCAGATGGCGTGCGCCAATGGTGCTATATCTGATAAATTAAAAAAAATAATAAAATTGTAAAATTTTTAATGCCTGATATTTTTTTAAGAAAAAAATCACTAGTCTTCCAAATAATGTAGATAAAAAGTTGAAGGCAGATTTACATACATAACACTCAACTCCTATGTATTTATATATCTAAGACCTAAACTTCAATTTTTACATAAATGTCATCTTACCTATGCATAAAAGGGTGTGTTTCACTTTTTAAAAGTTAAAATGGTGATATTTTTAATGTGCATGAAAGATTTAGGAGGTATAAATGTAACTAGTAAAGTTTAGGCTTTAAATATGTAAATACTTATGTATGTAAATGTCCAAAGATGAAATCAAACCAAATATCAAAAAGAGCGAAGTGGCAAACATTACATAAAACAAAAAAATTTAATTCATTTTACTTATGATTACTTATGAAGCATTCTCTTAATTCAAAATATACTTATTAATGATGCAAAACAATGTGCACCACGGTGTAATACGCACTTTTGCCTCTCTGAACTGAGGTTTATGAGCGAAAACGTGTATAATTCATTTGTGGTTTACTTAGGTTATGGTGCAATACATAGCAGATGGCGTGCGCCAATTTGTATTTATTCTAATATTTTTTATTATACTATACATAAAAGTAAATGCAATTCCTTTATTTAGTCATGCCTTGGTGGCATTATGATGCATCAGTCATTAGCTGTAATTTTAAATTTATATTTTTCTTCATTTGAATAAAATTGAAACCAAAGGAATTGTTAGCCTGAAAAACAATTTTGCATAATGTAATATTCTATAATAGAGCCTTTTATATATTAAAAAAAAAAACTTATGTATTTAAGCACCTAACACCTAGACTTTCATGTTTTACAAAATAGCATCCAAATCTGAAAAATACCACTATTGGTTACTTTTTAAATTTGAAATACATATTTTCATGCATAGGTTCATGACACCAAAGTGTGATAAATGTAAATATGAAATTTTAGATGTTAGATATGTAAATACATAAGAATTGTGTGGTAATGTATGTAATTTTATCTTTATAATAATATTTTAGAAACTCAAAGATAGTTATTTAATTAGTATTTAAGTGTTTATACTATGAAATTCAATCCTCGAGCATTATCGCCTGTAAGTTAAATTTTAAGTGGAATTTTGAGCTTTTTAGCAACGTTCTAATGACAAAATTTTGCTCTAAATTTTGCGTGCATAACATAGGATGCAGAGTTGTATACACTCTCAATCAAAGATGCAAACCTATTTTCCCATGCCCGATGTCAACGGTGCACCCTGAAATACGTCCTACTGCATAAAGCGATAATACTGCTTGCTCGGAAGCATAAAAGCCCGAGACATTAAAAGTTTCAAACATCATTTGGACCAACTGTTCCCTGACAACCTGTAAATCAGACAATAAAAGGCATAAAATCTCTTAGCAAGCATTTCTTGATTTGTTTAGCAATCCATATTATGCAGAGCAAATAATGAAGTGTAAAAAAAAAAGTCAAATTCAGCCTTAGAACTCATGTTTGTATTTTTTGTAACAATCATGTTCATCTTGCCCTTGCATATCCCTATTTAACCAACAACTTATTATTATCACTTTTAGGGGTTGTTTGGATTCAAGATGGATTTAAGTTAAATAGGATTTAGTAAATCCGGATTTATCAATCAAAATATTATTAAATCCAAAATAATGTTTAGTTCAATTAAGGTTAAATCTAGTTAAATCCATTTGATGTGTTTAGCATAAATCTATTTGAAATATTTTCTTTTCCTGCTCTAAATCCGTTAAATCCAACTAATAAGTGGATTTAATAAATATGAATTTAATGAACGGAACAACCAAAAATTGGATTTAATTTTACGGCAGATTTATCTAATGTTTTGCTAGATTTAGGTTAAATCTAACTTAAATCCTGTTAAAAGTATCGTATCAAACACCCCCTTAAAATATTTAAACTCAATCAAAATCTCTAAATCTCATGTATTACCTTAGCTATTAATATATCTCATTTTTACCTACTTAAAAAGCATCATGTTGTATAAAAAGCCAGAAGTCGTGACTATTACTCTACTTATTTCCGACTTTGTTTAAACTTAAAGCTCCCTCAAAACTAATGCAAGCTTAGTTAATCTTAAACCAACTGAGTCCACCATAAGTCTCATTTACTAGCACACGATCTATTTTTATAATCTTTAATAATTTCAATGGCAATCTTCTTGCTGCATGCATTTAACCTTTTTTAACTTGCACCATGTTTGTTAGACACTTTTATAGCTTTCATGGCAATCTTCTTAATCAGTCACACCATGCTTGGTTCAGCTATGTATATATATACATACATACATACATATATATCTATATATATATATATATATATATACACATACATACATATATATATATATACATACATACATACATACATACATACATACATACATACATACATACATACATACATACATACATACATACATACATACATACATACATACATACATACATACATACACACACACACACGTATGTGTGTGGGTGTATGTGTATGTGTGTGTGTATATTTGTCTGTTTATATGTTTGGATGTGTGTGCTTGTGCGCGCTCTGACTATAAATCTAGTTAAATTCAATATATTTTAAAAATTCCATCATGTATTTATATGCATATTTCTATTTTGTATTACTCTATTAATTGTCAAAAAAGTGCTTCTTTATATGTGAATATTCAACATAGATGGGTGAGAATTTGATAAACTTCACAATAATGATTGTAAAAATATGATCGACTTTAGTGATATTAATATCATAAATAATAACAATTTTTTTTCCCTTACACTGCATAACGCTGCATTAGAAAAGTAAAAGTTTACGAGGTTTTAAAAAAAATGTGAAAAAAAATTAGACCTTATTATATTTAGTAGGTCTAAAATTTTCTTGGTTTACTGAACTTTTTAATATTATTTTAGAAATTAAAAAGATGTCTGATGAGTGAAGAAAGAGTCTATTGGTTCTTCTTTTTAATAATAAAGTTGATGCACGAGAGTGTGCAAAATATAAAGGAATTTAGCTAATATGTCATACCTAAAGTTATGGGAGAGAGTCCTTGAATATAAGTTACGACATGATAAAAAATTTTCTCAAAATCAGTTTGGATTCACGTCGGGCACGTCTACCATGGAAGTTATACATCTTATTGAGAGGTTTGATAGAGAATACAATGAAAGGAAGAAGGATATATATATATATATATATAATATTTCAAGAGAAGTAATTCGGAAAGTTTTAAAAAAGAAAGGTATTGATAATTCTTATATTAAAGTCATTAAAGATATGTATGCTATAGTTATTACTTGCGTTTGAACACAAGGAGGCTTGATAAAGTATTTTGCTATTTTGCTTGGATTACATCGGTGATCGGCTTTAAACCCATATCTCGTTGTCTTAGTTGTGAATACAGGAGCAAGTAACTTGGTGAATGTTTTTTGCTGATGACATCCTTCTTGTGGATAAGGCTAGCGAGAGTTTGGGAAAAACTTGAATTATAGAGGTCAACTTTAGGTTTAAAGGTTTTTATTTTAGTAGATTTAAAATTAAATATATGTAATGTAATTTTAGTAATAGTAAATCTAGTGGTAGGGTTGTAATAATAGATGATCCAGTCATTCAAAAGAGTTAATTTTTTGGATATATCAAGTTTGTTGTTCAAAGTGATGATGATATACATGGAGTAGTAGAATTCAAGTTGGATGGTTGAAGTGGAGGAATGCAGCGAGCCAATTGTGTGATAAAAAAATCTCGCTTAGACTTTAAAAAAAAATCTAAGATAGTGGTGAGACCTGCAATGCTTTATGGCACAGAATGTTGGTATGCAAAACAGATACATAAATTTTAAGTATTGCTGAGATGAGAATGATCCAGTGGATGAGTGGCCTAACATTTGGAGACAAAATGTGAGATGAATACATTCACGAAAGACGTGGAGTAGCTCTGGGGGCAGAACATATTAGAGTCACTTAAATTGTTTGGTCATATGAAACGTCATCCGTCTAATAACCAGTTAGGATAGTAGATGTTTTAGATTTGACTTCAGCTAAGAAAGATAAAAGTAGACCTTAAAAGGCTTGGGAATGTTGTATAAAAAATTAAATTAATTTATTATAATTAAATGAAAATATGAAACTCAATTGGACACAATGGAGAAAAAAGGATTCATGTAGCTGACCCCATTTAGTGGGATGAAGGTTTTTCGTTGTAGTTGTTATACTCTATCATTGTCACACTTTCATATCTAATCGCCCACACATGGATGATAATGAATGTGATTCACGCCCTCTCACTAGGTTTCGTGAGTCATACATATACAATTTTGGTTATTATTATGCTAATTATTGCTATTCTTAGTTGCATAAAACATCTTACAATGATGCATATGATGATCTCTCCTGCTCATCAAGCAAAGTTCCCCAGATCATACACCAACAAAGCAATCTTCAAAGAAAGCTTTTCCTCCCACCCATGCAATCCACTCCAAATGTTTTAGATATTCCATTAGAACCACAACAAACCACAACCTCCTTTAATTCATTAACTTAAGCAAAACTTATAAAAAGTACATACAAAGATGCTTACAATGGCATACATCACACGCCTATTATTGATGATGAACTTGACATTGAGAATAGTTCTAAGCTATTAACCTCTCAGCTAACTATTATGATTGAAGTTGCATATAAGATATTAACATGGAGTAAGCAAAAATTTTATATCTAATTAAGCGCATAAGAGTGTGACTGCTACAGCCTCCTTTAATTCAGCAACATAAAAAAAAACTTTATGGTCCTTAACAAAGATACTTACGATGACATACATCACACACCTATTATTGATGATGATTTGACATTGAGAATAATTATGAACTATCGGCATCTTAGCTAACAATTATGCTTGAAGTTGCATATAAAATATTAATATGGGTTCAAGCCAAAGCTTTATAACCAAATAAGCGCATAAGACTGTGACCGTTGAAGAGACTGTGTTGCTTACAAATATGATTTCTTGTATCATTGAGATAGTTTAGATGTACCAGAGCTTGCAAGTGATCTATCCAACTTCCTATAGTGATTCCTACTTAAATGCACATGTTAGTACCTCAAGAGACAAACCACTTCAAAGGATTCCAATTTTCTTTAATCACAATTACAAACGATTGAGTTCCTCTCAACATCGCCACTGTCAACAACTAAATAATTATTGATCAACGTCGCAAAAAAATAGAACATGAATGAAGTTTACAACCGCATAGCAACCAGGCTTCCAAGTCTCCATGTTCTTTGCGCTTCATGTTGCTGCTCTCTATGTTGTAAAGCCACCCTCTCCAAATAATCCAATTAGGTTGCGGCTCAACTAGGCTTACCTCTTTCAAACTCTTCAAAAAATATCTCTTGGTGGCTTAGAAGAATTCATCTCATAGCATCAAAACGAGCTAATTTATCAAAAAAACCATCAAAGAGAAAATGAATGATTTTATAATTAGTTTGAGTTATCAAAATATCACCAAAGGCGTACTTAACATCAAAATTGAATGCAAGCATAAAAACTACTCTTAAACTCGAGTCAAATGGAACATCAAAGGTTCTCGACCACATTACAACTGAATAGAATGCTTGCCTGCTTGGAGCCCTTCTTATCAACCACGTGAGCTTTAAATGATTGATAACATTAAGTACCTAATGAATTGAATTACTCTTGGCTCCAAGAAGGATCGTCAAGTCGTCTATTTCCCTTTCTCCCAATAAGAAACTCCCCGTCACTCTCCATAGCACTCTTCTTTCTTTCATTTCCTTTTATTTTTATGTTCATGATTTGACCTGCATGCTCCATAACAAACCCCAAACTTCTTTCAATTCCAAAAATATTCCAATCTCCCTATCATAAACTCTAATCCAAAATCATCATAATCATTCCAAAAACTTAGTCCAATATATTATTTATATCAAATTGATATCAAAACTATTATCATATCATAACCACAAATTGTCGATCTTTACTTTCAAATAAGGTGTAAATGAGTAGATCTAATCTCAAATTAAAGCTAATTTGGGCTTGGCTCACCTACTCAATGCTTCCAGTCGATCTCATATAGCAAGCTCGAGCTCGGCATGTCCCTATATTGCTAAGCTTGTGTTTGAATCAAGAGCTCAAGCCTTGAGATCGCCATAGAAGAAAGACACTACATAAACTTGTTGGAAAGCATTCACAAGTTCCAACGGCATGTGAGGGAGAAGTTGAGTTCGCAATAGAACAAAGAAGAGAAAAAAAAAATTACCATATATCCCCATAATCTTCCATATTATTTGCTCTAATGGCTCTGCCACCTAATAGGCAAACTGGTTTGACCATCTTCATGCATGAAAATATTTTGACTTTATTATATAAATAAACAATTTTCCTCATGCTAAAACAAATGAACTCATAAGATTTTGATTATCAAACATATAACTAAAAGAAATATGATGCTTTCCATATCCATAACAGAATTCTCCCACCGATCTTAATCAAAAAATGATTATTGCCATAAAAATAGATGTTTCTGGCAACTCCATTTTTAAAGTTATCTTTATGATACATTAGCTAAATTCTCACTATATATGAATGCTATCTACAAGCTTGCTTCAAAACTTGCAGCAATATTAACTCCTACAACACCCTCAAGGGGAGAAGGCATCAAAAATATTATCTCAAACCACAAAACCCGATTCTCACTCATGCATTTAACTTGTCAAAAAATCAACATAAAAAATACATAGTTAAGAATAGTTTTAGATCCAAATTATTAGTCCTTATGCATGTATTAGGGAACAATCATAAAAAATTGTTCATATAATCATAAAAAATATACAAGGCTTAAGCAATTAAAAGCACTTCCCTATGATGCAAGTTAGGTCCGCCAATCGAGCAATCAAAATCAAAATCAAATGCAACTCAAAAAACTATACTACAAGTCTTGCTTGCATAGATTCTCATGTGACGAAACATATCTGGCATTTACATGTTTTGGCCATCTTTATCCAAATTACCCAATCCCATGCTTCCAAAAATCATCCTTCACACCCTACTTCCCAACTAATGAGGCCATCAATGAGGACATGAATCCAAAATTTCTCAAAAGATCCCTCTCCCTCCAGCCTTGGTCGAACAACCTCTGCTTTCTTCTTTACTCCCTAGAACCCCACCCCCCCTCTCTCTCTCTTCCGCTCTCCTATACCTCTCTACTTCTCCAAATAGTTTTCTACTCTTCTCCTTTAGTCAAACTCCACCCAATTTCTCCAGAAGCAGCCAACTGATACCCCTCCTTGAAGTTGGACTCCAAACAACCCATTCAACTCCATATCCAACAATCCTCACTCATGCTTCCATTAAATGTTTCAAGCCATCAAAGAGATGAGGATCTTCCCATCCCCACACAACTGAGGGCAGCACCGCTATCACGGTGAAGTTTGATAGTCTGGTCTCCATTACCTTCTTTCATGAACACTTCTTACAAGCTAGTTAAGTTTTTGCTCAATGATGCCCTCCTAATTTCCTAATGATTGTTATGTCTTATCTATTTTTACACTATGTAATAGCAAACATTCAGCTTAGATCCAACCTCACCACTCATGACATATGAACTCCATTTTCTATCTACACTTCTTACAATTGTTAAAGCAGCAATAACTTGAAAAAAACAAAATTTGGGCCAAGAAAAAACCTTCAAAGCATATAAACCTCAGTAATTTGAACTTCCCTAATAACTACAGGCCTTGAACCCTAAACATATTATAGAGAAAAGTTATCACCATCAAGCTATTGGAGATGAACTTGACTTCTAAAATTGTTGCAACAGAAAGTTATAAAGTAGTCGTATGTATACAAATCTTCCTATAATTTACATGTACATCCAAAATACGGATTTTTTAAGCTGTTAAGGAAACCCATATACAAAGTGGTCCTTCTGGGCCAATCAAATTGGGGCCTCCTTTTCACCATGCATTGGAAATAGGGTCGTAAACAAGCCAAGCTTGAGCGAGCCCAGGCTTAGCTCTTGTTCGGCTCATTCAAAATTGCTCGTGTTCGAAATCAGCTCATGTTTGAAATTGGCTCGTTAACAGTGTGTAACAGTGTGTTCGTGTTCGATTTAAATATTCTTGTTCGTGTTTGGCTTGAAATTGGCTCGTTAAAATTAATTGAAAATATTTGATGTAAAGTGTTGGATTCGAACCTGAACCAAATCTATGCAAAAGAAGATACATAACCACGTTACCACATGAGTTGTTATGATTTAAACTTTTATAATTATATGATTTTTTTTTTATTTCGAACTAAAATGAATCGAATACGAGCGAACAAACAGTTCTTCGTGTTCGGCTTGTTTATAATTTAAGCTTAAAAAAATTGTTCATGTTTGACTCATTTGGTTAACGAACGGGTCGAACAGGAGCTACTTAACGAGACGAACACGAGTTGTTCGCGAACAACAAGCTTTTTTTATGGCCCTATTTGGAAACCAGCTTATCTGATTATACTCATCTGCCACATCCTTCAAAGTGGTGACCACGAGAATAATCTCTCAAGAAGACCTAGTGAGTTCCTCCGTTGAGTTTGTCATAACTCGTCGAGTTCTTCGACTAAGCTCGTATACACTCATCAAGCATGATCGTTAAGCTCGCCTACACTTCTCAGGTTGCACCACCACTGTCGTTTATCGATCCTTCAAAGTCGCTTGCATGGCATAAAGAAGGAGACTTTGGCCCATCTCTCACCATGTCTACTTATAAGCCACCTGACACCCGTGGTGATTTCTTTTTAACAACAAATCTGTGACAAACATCGTATAGTACGGCCTAGAATATAGTTTTTTTTTTTCCTCGTGCAGCCCTACAAGGGTAAAGACATTCTAGGAGGCATATAAATAGGAGGGGGTGCAACGCAAGAGAGACCTCTTTTTTCCATATCCATCTCTCTCGTTTCACCTCCTCCATTCTTCCCACAAGGTCTCTCCTGGGTTGTATGATTCCACAGATAATAATACGGGAGTATACATCCTAAAGGGTTTCAACGTTACCATCTAAACTGTAAAAAGATAAGCAAAAACTTGACAGAAAGTGATTACACGAGATAAGTTCTGCATGGCTAAGTTGAACAATATGCATCGTAATAATACAGATTTCTAAGCAAAGACGAAATCATACTCTAAGAACCATGTAAGATTATAAAGAAAACGTCTGCAATTCATTTAAATAGAAAGTCAAAATACATGAATCGACCGTTTGCTCATCTAACCTTTGGGGTGGAGAGAGGATCGGTGAACAAAATCTGCCCTTCCTCTCCCATCTCCCACCCGAGTCCTGTGTAAAGAACATGGCGCAGTAAGTCCTCCATTGCATCCCAGTCTTTGATAAAACCCCTTACAACGGGATCTACTGTCAATTCCTCGAACGCCGAGGGATCGTCCATGTCCCCTTCCTCCGCCACGCACTTCATCTTCGTAGGAATGATCTGATTCATGCCAGAATAATCAGACCGCAAGTGAATGCATGGAAAAAGAATGGCTTCGTTGGCAATTCCAAAGAAAAATAAGGAATAGGGTTTATAGTAGCTTTCGAAAAATGAGGAGATAGTCTGTAAACCATGGCCGGATCTTGATCGGGTGCAGCGAAGCCTGCTTTGAGAAGTTTTGAACCTGCGTCGACCACCACCGCCTCCATTGCGGACGAAGAAAACCCTAGATTTCCCGAGCATTCAATTGTCCACTACCCGCCCATCTTGTTTGTTTGAAATTTACATAACTAGCACAATATTCTAATGTATTTACATACCTAACACAAAACTTTTTGTTTTTACATTTATACCAGCGAAGTCTTTCATATCAAATTAAAAATATCATTATCTGAACTTAGACACAAAAAAAAAAGTGAAATGTGCATTTTAATGCAAAGATAAAATAATATATATTTAAATTTAAAATTTATGTGTCATAACAATGTTAATACATAAGATTTGAGCGATATACTTATAACTTCCATTGTAGCAAAAAAATAAATGAAATTTATAATAATATATTTTATTTTATTTTGAATAATTTATATTAATTATTGATGCGTGCCAGAAATTTTGTAGTGGTAGAGTAATGAATTATTGTCTTAGCATTGCACGATAATTCAGCACACACAGATAACAGAAGAGAAGTAAGCAGAAGGAGATACATTGACTTTTTATGTGGAAAACCCTTGAAATAGAGAAAAATCATGGGGACTAACCCAATTGAAATAATTCACTATGAATGATAAGTACACAGATCAATTCTTCTCCTAAAATAGGAAATATTGAATTACAAAGTTGTATAATTATAATTTTGTTGCAGTTCTTAGTGACAATAGGTTGCAAGGGTCATTGTTGATTATTGTGGAAGCACTAGTTCATCGTGAGTGTTGTAGATGGTTACATCAAAAGGGTTGATTGACCAAATAAACCGTAGTAAGCAATTACGAGAGTTGTGGACCACATAGGTCGTGGTGGCAAGTATGAATGGCGTCTGTAGGCACCCGGGGCCAGAGTCGGGAGCTAGAGTTGGGAGCTGGTGTTTCGAGCTACACGAGTTTTGAACTACGTAGGTCGTAGGAGCGAGTATGAATGACTTTCGTAGGTTGTCGGGGTCGGAGTCGGGAGTTGCATGAGCTATGCCCTGTAGTCCATAAGAACGAGTATGAATGACGTCCATAAGCCACGAGGGTCGAATTCGGGAGCTGCACGAGTTGTGAACCACATAGATACATGGATCGTAGTGATGAGCTTATGTCTCACAACGATGACTGACAACATCTAGTTGGTGATAATCGATGATGATTGGTGGTGATTGACGGTGATGACCAACAGTAGCTGACGGTGATTTATGCAGGATTTGGGAAAAATGATATTAAATTAATAATAATTATGCAATGTAACCCAAACAATAATGGAACTTTAATGAAAATAAATTATATTTAAAACATATTTTTATGAAAATAATTTATATTTAAAACATATTTTTAAATCTCAAATTTCTTTTACATATAACGCAGGTATGCATGTTGTTCAAGTAATACAGGGCTCTAATGGAGTCCTAGATATCGATCCCATAGGGAAGCTGGAAATATATATAAGCTAGCTATTTATATTATATTATAAACTAAAAATAAAAACAAAGTAAAGTGCGAAGTTTGAAGTTAAACTTCTTAAGTGAAATGCTACTAAATATGCAGATGTACGACTATAACAAGTAACTTAAACTAGACACTAAACTTTCAAAAGTAAATTGTTGAAATAAAACAAAGGTTTTTGTTGACAAAAAATTTTAAAAATGTTTTGTGTCGGATATGAGCAATCATACTACCCTCTTCCGAACGCTACAAAGAACATTGATTAATTCAGAGTTTGGTCCCTAATTCCGTGATTAGGCTGGAAGAATACCAATTGTCACTATAGAGCTCCCCCTACTCCCTCACCTGAAGGCTAACATGTTCGCATTAGTTTCCAATCAACTGAATCAAATTGGAGATTATAATTTGTCACCTTAAAATCTTCTAATTGTACATCCAATGAAGTATATTTCCCTATTTACTTACACCCAATCTCATGGATGAAATACTTTCCCATGAAATTAAATGTGATTTTACATTTGTTGTAGAAATGATATCATCTTTTCATAACATATATTTCTCAACACATTTTACCAATTCAATTGGTCAGATCAAAAAGTAAATGAATATCGAAGTTCAAATCATCACAAAATATTGACATTTAAAACCGTAGAAAACAAAATTAATTGTTCACAAAATCATTTCTTCAAAGTAGGTCATGAGAATGATATAATAGAACACAAATTTCATAAAAACAAGTTTACAAAGAAAAGAAATGAAAAATACAACTTAACTCACAATCCTTCCCAAGCAAATTCCTAGAAGTTCTCTCGAAGTCTTTTCCTCTTTACAATCACTCCCGATTCTCTCTTAGAAATTTAACTAAGAAGAAATATCTTACATTATCCCTTCTCTTATAATCATAGAAGAAAATCTCTTCTTCTCTCTCTCTCTAACTCACGTAATTTCTCTCTCTCCCTCTCATCACACTCTAGAAGTCCTTCCTTTTGGGCTGCTTCCTCTAAAAAAGAGTATCAATTTCAAGCATAAATTCAAAAGTCAAAACTTTAAATTTCAAAAGATGTGCCTCAGTGATCATAAATTCAAATCCCTTCAAATTGGAATCTTCCATAGTGTCTAAATGCATTGAATCACTCAATGGAAGCTTAAAACAAGTGTCCAATTGAAAATTCGCAAAAATTTTGTCTCGAATCGCCTTAATTTGAAAACATTGTGCCTTGCGCATCATGTGCCAGCGCATTGAATTTTGGCGCATCATGCGCAAAACCAAAAAATTGTCCGTTTTTGCTCTAAATTTTGTTTTTTTATCATTTTTTCTCCAAATGTCTAAAAATGATATACCTGAAAAAAAAACACAAAAATCTATTTTATTTAAAGTGTAATATCACAAAAAATAGGCATAAACGGGGCACTTAAAACATTATATTATTTTTGTGTATCAGTGATCGACGGGTGTCGACGACGGTCGGTGGTGATCGATGACGATCAATGGTGTTCGACGACGGTCGAGATGGTGTTGGACTTTAGTTTTTTCTCAGAGCTTCCAATTATCTTCAAATTCCTTCTCTAACCGCCAATCTCCCATGCCAAAATATTTTTTATTCTTGCGCCGTAAAAAATTTTCTTCCCTGTCCTAAAACCTCGCTCTAACACCACTTGCCAAAAAATTTGGGCGAAAAAAAACAAGAATCGACAAAAAATTCAAAAGAATGCACATAGATTTACGAGGTTCGACAAAGATGCATATGTCATTGAGAGCAAAACGACGACTTTCTTTTCAATATTTAGAAAAGAGCACAAAATACAAGATTAAGAATCTCACATATGATTACAAACATGACATATATATAACCCTATAGTACAATAGGCAATTACTTAAATTACTCCAATACCAAATCACAGGATATTGCCCCCGCACCCCAACTCACATAATACAACTTTTTTAATTGGACAAAACCTTCCACTTCACTCTACCTGTGGGCTCAGCTCTGCTCCAAAATCTGTCTGGTATATATATTTGCCATAAAAAAATAAATGGAAGATGTGAGGATTAAGCACCGAATGTTTTTTACTCAAGGGAGCTCATCTCTAGTGCCCAGCAACCCTGCTGTAACCCGCCGGCCATTGCCATGGCGGCCAAGTTTCCCACTCTGACGCTCTGCCCTTCTTACCCTAACTCTAATCATACACCACTGTTTCACACTCCTTATTTTTTCTGCACAAAGCGGCCTCCTGCACTCGGAATCCCTGCCAAACCAACTCCATGCACAGCGCCTCGATGCGCCAAGCGAACCGGGAAGCAAAGGTATCCTTCCGAGAAGAAGAAGCTCGAGAGGATGAATAAAACTCGAACCCTAACAGAAATCAAGATCAAGGAAGAAGGCTTCTGGAGATTCTCCAAGCTTGCCATACCCGTCCACAAGGATCCCGGAAAGGACTTCTTCGGCGTCTCTCTTCCTCTTCTTGAATCAATCTCCAAGATCCTCGAGTTCCCGGTATTCATAGGCTCATGAATCTTTTTCCTTAGTGAGATTCTATACATGCAAAATCTTTCTTCTGTATTTCCTCTAACGAATTCACCGCTATAGGTGGCCGCAATGCTGCCAATGGAAGCTTTCACAGTTGTTCGGAAGTCCTTTGATGCAAGGAAGGTAATATTTGTCTGGTTATGAAGCGATAATTGTCTTTTGAGTGTCTTAATTGCTTCTATCTAATTGTAAAAGTCGTTTTCATAGAAGTGAGGGAAAATTAGGTTCTTGATTCGGTGTCTATATAATTAATCTTTTGTTCTATATTTTAACAAAAAATGATTGGAGTCCATTTCCGGTAATTGTGTAGACTAACATGTATTGTAGATGTTTCAAGAAAATGAAGGGGCTGTTTGATAGCGCCTTTTAATAGAATTTATCACTGGATTTGCTAAATCAAACCAAATGGTAAAATGCAGTAGTTAAGCTGATTTATGAATTTTTGGATTTAGTTTGCCTTGGATTCGGCTTAAATTTGATTCACTAAATCTATGGGTAGGATAAATTTGATGCATTTTCGATTTAATTTACTTAATCCTATTTACAATCAAACAACCCTCTGCATTGGATTGGAATATTGCATGATTGTTCTTTGGTGTTTTTTGTTTGCAATTTCAGTTATTTTACTTCAATAATTGATGAGTAAGGATGTAAATGAGCCAACTAAAGTCCAAGTATTGCTCAATCAAGCTTGATTGAGTTAATGATACCGGAGGTAACCCGATTCAGCACTCAAACAACACAATTTTATTGCGAATTTTGAAGGGAGTACTACATAGACTCTTGGACGAAAAACATCACAAACATGTGAACGATAATATAAGAAGTAACCACTCAACAAGTAATAAAATAAGCACCAAAGAGGGCGGGAACAATCCTGGACAGCACGAGGTGGGGGTTGAGACTCCGTCGGAGGGGCCGGGAAAGTGTCGGCGGCGGCTAGGAGGATGTCAAAGTGAACGTCAGCATTGGAGGGGTGCCGGGGACTGGGTTGCAGGTACAATAACCTGCTGGAACGGGCGTTGGGAAGGATTGCAGAGGCTGTTGGGAAGGTCTGAAGGTGCTGTGGCAGCAGTTAGAGGACGGCTGTGTGGAATCTGGAGGTGCTTCGACTAATTGGGAGAGGTGCAAAGATGCCCGACAACGTCTGGAGAGGAGCTGGGAAAGATTGGAGGGTCCCGCAAACTGTTGGAGGAGTTGTAGGAGTGGTTGGCTGCGGTGGTAGAGTGGGGTAATCACCACCTTAGGTGAGGTACAGCCGAAACACCTCTCGCCATCGGATACAACCCCTCGGGAGGGGAACACTGTCGTGGCAAACCTAAAACCAAAAATCACACAAAAGCTGTCTAGAACTAGGAAAATAAAAACATACATAAATAGGAGTGCAAGAGGGACCAACAAATGCAAAATCATAGGAAGGAAGGAGGTGAATGAAATGAAAGGGACAAAAAGCTAGTTGCAACGGCTAAGAGCGGCGGGGAACTAGGGCATGAGTGAGAATAGGTGAGTGAATCGGGCACGAGATGAGGGGGCCGAGCATGATAATGGTGGCCGGGTGTGATTGTGGTTTGGGGTGGTGGCTGTCCAGTGTGAAGGCTGGACCGGCTTGCTGCTCTCGGTCCGACGAGAAAAGCAGTCCCGTGTTAGTTAGTGTTATAAGAGTTTGAGTTAATATTAGCTTGGTTCAACCTCACAAATATATGCAAATATTTGAATTCATTTACCTTTATCAACATCAATAAAATTCAGCTTTTTTCTCTCTTCTCTAAGGTTAAATATGACAAATTTGATGGTTCTATATTTCATGACAACTGTTTAAAATTTTTCACAAATCTCAACATAGTTCATGCAGTTCACTTTTTTTTTCCGTGTCGCTAGATGGTTAGTATCTTGAATTTCTAACTTAATTGCAAGGGTATGAACGATTCTACGAGGAACTAATCAGTAAATGGTTGGCAAGAGCTATAAATTCACTTCAGCTTTTATGGAAAACATTGATGATGACAATAAACTTTACACTATCACGTCAAGTGCATTATTACAAAATTATAAATAAGCTATTTATGGGTGTATTATTGAGCTGAGTCGAAAACAAAATTTAGATTCTTAAAGCCCCTGCCAACAATTTGGTACTCAACTATAATAATATTATTGTTAGCTTGTAATATTGTCATACATGTATAGGCATTTATATTTTAACCTTCTCTAAAATACTAATCCTTGATCTTTTTCTTAGGAGTTAAAATATGTCAATTCCACTTGGAGATAGTTGATTATGAGTTTATGGGTTACAATAGAGAATAAGGTCTAAATGGCCCCCTGAATTTATAAGGGGAAGGTTTAATAAGTGTCAATTTAGTTCCCAACTCTTTTAACATGGGCTGAAAAAGTCCCCAATAAGGCCTCTTTAGCCCTCTGTAAAACAGTATGTGGATTAATTTAACCCTTTTATAAGCTTATGATTAAAATGCCCCCCTCTGAATAGTGAGAGACTATTTTGACACATTACTCATTACAATATGTACTATGTAGATTCATGAAGCTAGAAAAATTAGCTATTTGAAGTAGTTCATTATGAGTACATGATTTACATACACCTTCCTTCCCTGTTGTCTTTGACTTGAAACTTGAAAGCTTGAGCTTTTGAATTAGAAGCTCAGGAGTCCTGATCCCAGGTGTGCTTATTTCTTTTTCCTTGAATTACAGCAACTTGCAACATTTTGTTTGATACTTGCTGCAGTTGTTGAAGGAGCCTCAGTTTGTTTATACCGTGGACATGGATGTAAAGAAACTTCTGAATCTGGAGCCTCGAACATGGGATTTTATTTCACGGTTGGAGCCAAAACTTGGATCTATAGAATACATGCCATCCAGCAAAGTTGTTACTGATTTGACCAGCATTTTACATAATTTGGTAAACAACAAACATGATTCTAAACAGAAGGAAGTGGACATTCAAATTAAGTCTTTTCACCGCTCCTTAATCTCTAAATTGCTAAAAGTTGCTGTTGTGGGAAGTGGACCATCCGGCTTATTCACTTCCCTTGTTCTTAGTGAGCTTGGAGCAGATGTCACTTTGATAGAAAGGGGTCAAACTGTTGAACAGAGAGGGCGTGATATTGGTGCCTTGGTAGTTAGAAGAACTCTGCAACCTGAAAGCAACTTCTGCTTTGGCGAGGTGCTTATTTCTTCATTACGGTATCAGTTTATCTTGATTGATAATTGTTTATTCTCTTTCAAAATAGGGGTACTCACGTACATACCACTCAATTTCTATGTATTTACATATCTAACGAGTAAACTTTACTTTTTATATTTATACCACCCAATTCTTTCATATCACTTAAAAAATCCCATTATTTAACTTTTAGAAATTGAAATACACCTTTTCATGCATAGGTAAGGTGGTGTGTAAGTAAAATTGAAGTTTAGGTGTTGGATATGTAAACTCTCATCTAGGTTGTACTCCTAAAATCTAGGAAGTCTATGCTGAGAATTAAGTAAAATTGAAGTTTAGGTGTTGGATATGTAGATACATAAAATCTTTTTTCAAAATATTGTTTTTGGGATTTGTAGCCATGCTGACGACTTTGAACTTTACCCTTGGCATGACTCGTAAAAGTGTGTTATTGTCAGCTGCTTGGTTTTTTTTTCAGTCTTTCTTTCTATTCTTAATAAAATATCCCAATGGAAACATGCAGCTGTTGCTAAGTTTCAAGTAGAAGCAAAGTTCATTTATGAAGATTTTAGTGACAAGTATGTCAGCTCTATTCAAATTTACCATTGAGAAATTTACTTATATAAAATGTTGTATAATTTATTCATTATTTTAAATTCATATGCTGATATTACTAAATTTCTCGGTTCTTATTGGGTTCTAAAATTTTTTGACTTACAAATGGGTTTAACGGGGAACTTTTTATAGACTGATTTTTTGTAGCTTAATACCTATTTTGGCATGAATATGGGAGTGTGTAGCTTGATGGAACATCTACTAAAAATCCTACATTCTCCACTTAGGAAGTTTATTACATTCATGACCTTTTGAAGGGTTCTAACATTTTTTGTAAATTTAGTTGGAGCTTAAGTTGTGCTTAAGCCAACTTGAGCCTAACTAAATAGATATTTTGTTGCTCTTCAAAACTTGAAAAGCTTAAGCCTGGCTTCTTTGAAGGAAATGCTCTAGCTTGGTTCACCTAGGTGTTCAATAGGGCGCTTAAGCTAGCTTAACGTTTTGGGGCTTTTACACACATAACATACAATTCTCATGTATTTACATATCTCACACCTAAACTTTCATATTTGCACACATAACACTCAAATCTTTAATATCACATCATCTTTAATATCCAAATCTTTAATATCACATCAAGAATAGCTCTATTATCACTTTTAAAAAATGAAATACATCTTTTCATACATAGGTTTAAACCACGAAAGTGTTATGTATGTAAATATGAAAGTTTTGGTGTGAGATATTATACATAAGAATTGTGTGCCACGTATGTAAAATTCCCTAACATTTTTTTTCCATATTTTTCTGCACCAGGCCTGCATCATTGTGCTTACCCTGTTGCTTCATGAGATCACCATTCTTCATCTTTCCACGCGTCCTTATTTTTCCCTTTGCTCCAACGTCTGCATATTCAGCTATCTTGTGTTTCGCTTCAGTTGTTGTTGATGTTGCAGTCAACATCATACTTGATGCGGGGTTGTTGATATGAGGCTGCAATGTAGCATCATTATAGTTGTTGATGGTGCAATTGTTGAATCATTAGTACTTGATAGTTATTCTAATTAATTACTAACTATATTTACTCATCTACTCACTAGCTATCTAACTTATAACTAATTTTCACAATTACTTCATAGTTATATTATCTGATCATTGGCTACTTGATTTATTACTAATAAACATAATAAATTCCTACACGAGTTTAAGAGGCCGTTTATGATAATTTTTATTCTTATTTTTTACTTTGTTTATGTTCTAATATGAAAGAAAACCTTGTTTAGCTTTTTTTTTTATTATTTTTCAAATAAAAATCTTTTTCACTAGTGGCTCCATCTTCTTAAGCAGCACCGCCAGATGGGCCTGTCTTCTTAATCAGACTTCATCCTCATGGGGGTTGGTGTCAGCATTGATGCATTCCTCTGTAACTGATTTTGACTCCTAAGCCCTGTTCGTGATGTACGTGTTACAACCCAACTCTCGCTCGTTGAGATATTGTTCGTTTTGGCCAAAGGGCCTTACAGTTTTGTTTGATTGGTATGACTTTCCAAGAGGTCACACTTCTCAAGAGTGCTCTCGCATGAATACACTTGGGAGTTTCTGATAAAATTTCAACAATTATTCAAAACGACACCTTGTTATTTAAGAGTTTAGCTTCATTCTATTTGAGGGGTTTCACAATATCGGTTTGTTGAGAGGACATACACAATAATGAATAATTTGTACTCATTTGATCATGCAACTGAGGTTGTTGTTCCTTGATGAGTGCAGCACTTGGTCAGACGGAGTTGGGAGTGGGTTAATGAAAAAATAAAATCTAAAATATTAACAATTTCTACAATTTATTTTTATTATTTTTTCAAGGTAAATAAAATTATTTAAAAAATAAAAAATAAGTAAACAAGAATATTTTTAATTTTTAACTGTTTTTTTTTATAAAAAATGATCCCCATCATTAACCGAGTTTTCAACTTCCTCAAATAACCTCAATGTTTATGTCATCTTATCTTTATTAGCCATCCAAATAGCTTAAGCTCTTTGCATGTGGCTTAATCCTTCGAACTTCTCCCTTTGCTTACCCTCACTTAACTTATCCAAAGCCCTAGCCAAATTGGGCCAAGCTATTTAAATGAGATTCGATTGTATTTTTTTCTTTTCTCTCTCTTTAATCTAACATAAAAAAATGTCTTGTATTTGTTTTTCTTTAGTGATACAATTGTACTAGCTATTAAAATTGAATTGACGTCTAAGGTGATTGATTCCTAATGTTATTTTAAAAAATACCAAATTAGTAGAATATTCTCTGAGAAATTCCATGTTTTTTCTACTGCCATCTTTTCACCATTTACTATTTTGATTTACATGCATACCCCACAATTTCTATGCATTTACACATTTAACACCTAAACTTCAATTTTTACACATATACACCTTAAGTCGGACCTGGGTTAAGCCCGGGCCCGTGCACCGCTAAAAAAATGCATCGATATCCGTGCTAGTCGCTTGCGCGATAAACCATAACAATGCGGGTGTCCTTTTTAGCTAAAGTTGACGTTCCGGACGCGTCGACGTGGTCTGTTTCGTCATCCGGGATCGTCCGGAAGAGTTCGCCGATGGGCGAGTCGATTCAAGTAAAAGTCGTGTGTGGTGCAGTAAGTGCATGAATTGCGGCGTTCACGAGTAATCGAGTCACAAAAGGTACATGGAGTGATGGAAAGCTGGTTACCAGAATAGGGAGGAACAGTGATAGCGTTCAGGCTGTAAGCTCTTTTAATTATTATCATTGGATAGTCATTTGTAGATCACGAGCATTTAGAGATATTCTAACCTCATACCTGCTTTTGGACAATTAACTGTTTAGAAATAATTGCATCTCATTTTAATAGTTTAGACTTTTGCTTTATACTTTTTAATTATTATAGGTTATGTTATGATATAATATTGTATGAATGATATTGGGGACATAATGATTGCCGACATCTGTGGACAAAATATCTCAACATGTATGGGTCCCAAAAGAGCGGGAGATAGTTTCTATAAGAAATTTCCAGTTCAAATTTTGATAAAAAGCCGATTAGGTGCATGTAGTGGTTAGCCTGGGAGGTTTATGCAAAAGTGGATTGCATCAACAAAGAAATGAAATGCTCGTGCTTGTTTTGTTTACTTTATACTTCGTTCCTCCAAGAAGATGGATGCCATTGAATGACTAACTAAAACCAGGACATGTTATCTAGTTAGCTTTGACATGTTTGATCGATCAAGTGGTCGACTAATATGTCCATTAAGGAATGTTTAGGGGAAGGGGCCATATTTAGCAGAAAAAAAGCATAATTAGTCAAAATTTGAAGTATAAGAAAATAGTATCTATACTTGTTAGGGGCCCTTCAAAATTGCTACAACTCATGTTGATATTACGCTAGGGTTTTTGGGTTATGTTACGCCTATACACGAGTCGGTCCACCCTGGACTGGATGGATGGAAGCATTACAACCGAACCACAGGCGGGCCAGTCTTGGCGACAGGAAGAAGCGGAGCGAACAGGGGGAGCCGCAAAAGAAGTAAAGGAATGGGTGGGGTCCACTAGTGCCATAATCACCTATGCAAGGAGGATAATTAATGAAACTTGGAGGGAAAGTTAGAAAGGGAAGTTTTTGAAATGCTGTGAGAGGATTCTATTAGGGGGAGAACCTAAGGTTTCCTTTCTTTATGCATTATTTTGTTGGTTGCTGTGTTTTCTTCTTTTGGTGGTGTTCCTAGCGACGTCTAGGGTGTGGGAGAGCTGATCTACCTCTAGAAAGTAGATGATCTTTTGTATTTTGCTTGTTTGCATTTATTTTTTGCAAGGACAAGCCCTATTTGACTTATTTCCATCTATTTTTCGTTGTTTCGCCGTTGTTGCTTGCTATTTTTGGTGCTGAAGCGTATCAAATTGGTATCAAAGCCTAAATCTTGGTGGGATGACAACAAAGCAACTGGATGTACTAGAGGGAGAGGTCGGGCAAATCAGATTGAGAGTGGAAGAGAGGTTAGCCACCATGGAGGATTTGTTTTCTTCCATTGAAAGCCAAATGGAGGATGTATTTGAGAGCATAGGAGAAATGTGGGAGATGATGAAAAAGCTCATGGAGAGGCAGTCTAAGGCCGTACTGACCACTCCAGTTGCAAACCCTAACCAATGGTTGATCAGTGAATTCTTGGCCAAATCAAAAGGGAAGGAGATCAAGTGAGAAGACAATGAAGAAGACATCATCTATCTACAAGAGCTTCCCCCTAGGACTCCGAAAGGAGGGGGAGTGGAGACTTCCGATGGAGGGGGATGGACTGAAAATTGGATGAGGGATGGTATAAGGGGCACGAAAGAGCACGATGGAGGAAGAAGAGGAGGGGAAGTGGAGACTTCCGATGGAGGGGGATGGGCTGAAAATTGGATGAGGGGTAGTATAAGGGGCACGAAAGAGCACGATGGAGGAAGAAGGGAATCGACAGTGGGATATGCCTATGCTTGAATGAGGGAGTTCCACTCTAGATACATAGGGGGAAATACCGAAGAAACAGGAGGTTGGGGTGGAGATGCAAGGGTCGAAAAATTGAAGATGCTAATCTTCTAAGTGGAGGATGCCCATATATGTGTCTATTGAGTGGAGTAATACTTTGCAATCAATGAGTTAAGTGATGGGTTTAAAGCCCAACATACGAGCAACCATCCACCCTTTGAGACTGTGAGAATTGAAGGAAATGATGAAGCTCACTCAGATGATGGAGGATAAGAAATATGTGAAGAATACCGGTAAAGACGACAACATCGGGGGATTTTATAAGGGCACTTTGACAACCACGACACCGAAGGCCCAGGGGTTATCATTTCAGAAAGAGACGGCGAAGGAGAGGAATACAGGACCCCATCATAGGGATAGTTACAAGCTCCTCATAGATGCAAATGTGTAGGATAAAAGAGCAAAAGAATTGTGTTACCGTTGTGACGAGAAATACGCCCCAGAATATCCTTGCAAGCAGCACATCCTTCAGGTTCTTTTAGTTCAAGAGGATATAAAAAGTGAGGAATTGTAAGAGAAATCAAAAGAGGAGGAGCATCTGCATTTGGATGTGACGGAGGTGTCCCTTAATTCGGTGGTGGGAATTACCCCAAATTACATCATGAAGATGAAGGGGTGGATTGGGGAACAACAGATTCTGGTGCTGGTAGATAGTGGAGCCACACATAACTTCATCTCAAATCAGATTGTGTAGAAGCTAAGATTGGAGCTGGTGACTACAGGGAACTTCGACGTCATGATGGAGACAAGGAAGGTAGAGAAAAGTTGGGGAATTTGTAAAGGGTTGTGGTTTTGACACTTCACGACCTACAGGCGGTGGAAGACTTACGTTAGATTTGGGCAGCACAAAAAAATTGAGAAAAATAGATGTAATGTCTGGGATTCGAACCTGGATCAAATCTATACAAAAGAAGACACTAACCACGGGTTATCATTTCAGAAAGAGACGGCGAAGGAGAGGAATACAGGACCCCATCATAGGGGTAGTTACAAGCTCCTCATAGATGCAAATGTGTAGGATAAAAGAGCAAAAGAATTGTGTTACCGTTGTGACGAGAAATACGCCCCAGAATATCCTTGCAAGCAGCACATCCTTCAGGTTCTTTTAGTTCAAGAGGATATAAAAAGTGAGGAATTGTAAGAGAAATCAAAAGAGGAGGAGCATCTGCATTTGGATGTGACGGAGGTGTCCCTCAATTCGGTGGTGAGAATTACCCCAAATTACATCATGAAGATGAAGGGGTGGATTGGGGAACAACAGATTCTGGTGCTGGTAGATAGTGGAGCCACACATAACTTCATCTCAAATCAGATTGTGTAGAAGCTAAGATTGGAGCTGGTGACTACAGGGAACTTCGACGTCATGATGGAGACAAGGAAGGTAGAGAAAAGTTGGGGAATTTGTAAAGGGTTGTGGTTTTGACACTTCACGGCCTACAGGTGGTGGAAGACTTACCTTAGATTTGGGCAGCACAAATGTGATTTTGGGATGAATTTGTTGTAAACGCTAGGGAGATGAAGGTGGATTGGATGTCTCCGAGTGGAGGGTAAGAGGGTGATGTTGAGGGGAGATGCTAGTTTATGCAAATCTATGGTATCACTTAAAATCATGGTAAATCGATACGAGGAGCAGGACCGGGCTACTTGGTAGAGTTGCAGAGCATCGAGGAGGTTCGAGATTCAAAGTTGACAGAGTTTCATGAAGGGGTCCAACAGTTCCTACAACAGTTCAGGGATGTCTTCCAACAACCAAGCCGGTTACCTCGCCTGAGGGCGCACGAGCACGCTATTATCTTGAAGGAAGGTGTTTCCCCTATTATTGTCAAACCATGCATGTACCCTCATATTCATAAGGATGAGATAGAGAAGCTGATCCGTGAGATGCTCGAGGCCGAGATTATTAGGCCTAGTGCGAGTCATTTTTCCATTCCTGTCCTGCTGGTAAAGAAAAAAGATGGTAGCTGGAGATTTTGCGTTGACTATCGGGCTTTGAATAAAGAGACGGTGTTGAACAAGTTTTCTATTCATGTAATTGATGAGTTATTGGATGAGCTTTATAGAGAAGTCATTTTTTTAAAAAATTGATTCTAAGGCGGGATACTGCCAGATCAAAATGAATCTAGTGGATGTGCACATGATAATGTTTGGGACATATGAATGACACTATGAATTCTTAGTGATGCTGTTTGGTCTCACCAACATTCCGACGACATTTCAGTCCCTCACAAATGGGGTTTTCCAAGCTTATCTACTAAAATTTATCATGATTTTTTTATGACATTTTGTTCTACACTCGTATAGAGATAGAGCATATGTGTCATCTAAGGACGGTCCTGAAGATGTTGAGGGAGCATCAGTTGTATACCAACTTGAAAAATGTTCATTTGCACAATTACAAGTGGAGTACCAAGGACATGTGGTAACTAGAATGGGAGTAGCAGTAGATTAATCCAAGATTGAGGCTATGTTTGATTGACCCTTACCAAGAAGTTTGTAGGAGTTGAGGGGATTCTTGGGTCTCATTGGCTACAACCAGAAGTTCGTGAGAGGATATGCCACAATAGCATCGCCACTGACGGAGCAGTTGAAGAAAGACAAATTAAAATGGGGGGAAGCAGCAACACAGACATTTGAACATCTGAAGAAGACCATGACTAGCGTACCGGTATTAACACTTTCATATTTCAGTAAACAATTTGTGGTGGAGGCGATGGATTAGAATACGGATTGGGAGTAGTGTTCATGCAGGATTAGTGTTTGATTACCTACTTCAGCCAGGTTTTACAGCCAAAGAGAGGCTAAAGTCAGTACATGAACATGAGTTGACGACAATTGTCTTGGCCATTCAGAAGTGGGGGTCTTACCTGTTGGGATGAAATTTTGTGGTCAGGACAGATCAGAGGAGTCTAAAGTATCTCATGGAGCAATGGATGGTGACCGAGGAGTATCGAAGATGACTATCCAAGCACTGGGGTATGATTTCGAGATTCGGTACTGACTAGGATTGAAGAACAAGGCAGCAGACACATTGTCAAGAACTAGGATTGATGACTCTATCGGTACCCATGGTCCTAGATTGGGAAGCCTTGAGACAGGAGAGCGAAAGAGATGAGGAGTTGAGGAAGGTAAGAGCTGAGTTACTACGGGATCCGAACAACCATCCAGGATATGCATTGAGAGAACATCAACTGCTCCACCAGGGGCATTTCGTGCTGCCCAAATCGTTGGAGTATATTCTCAAATTATTGCAAGAGTTTCATGATAACGCGATCAGAGGACACTCAGGGGTGCAGAAGACATACAATCATCCGGCGGCGGAACTTTATTGAGTGGCGATGCGTAGAGACATTGAGGATATGGTGGCAAAGCACAACCTATGTTAGCGACACAAGTATTTTACCACGACATCAGTAGGATTACTACAACCATTAGCATTGCCGGAGAAGATTTGGGAAGAAGTGATGATCGATTTCATCGAGAGATTGCCATAGTCATAAGGGTTCATGATGATCACGGTGGTCGTAGATCGTCTGAGTAAGTATGCACATTTCATTCCCTTATGACATCCCTACATAGCGGTCTTAGTCGTGACGATGTTGATTCGTTTACACAGAGTATCGAAATCGATTGTTTCAAATAGGGACAAGGTTTTTCTCAACCAGTTCTGGAAAGAGCTATTCAGGTTATAAAGGACAGTCCTTAAGAAGAACACCATATATCATCCCATGACCGATGGATAGACGGAGGTGGTCAACAGAAGTGCGGAGACGCATCTATGTTGTTTTGTATCTGATACACCGAACATATGAGCCAAGTGGATTGCATGAGCTAAACTTTGGTATACCACGTTGTACCACACCGTATCACATACCACCCCTTTAAAGATATTTTATGGGCGGGATCCACCTCACTTGGGCGTGGAACCACACCAATATCTAGCTTCGATCAATACTTAGAGGATAGGGACAGGATACTAGCAAAGCTCAAGGGTTATTTACTGAGAGCTAAACAAATCATGAAGAGGAAAGCAGATGAATACAAAGAGGGGTGTATTTTGAACTAGGGGATATGATATACTTGAAGCTGAGACCCAACCGATAGAAGACATTGGTTAGGAGGAGGAGCGAGAAACTTTCACTGCGATAATTTGAACCATATGAGGTGATGACATGTATCGGGAAAGTGGCTTATCATTTGAGATTACCACCATCGTCCGCACCACACCCAATTCCATGTGTCAGTTGAGACGTGCGATTGGAGATCATATACCCTCGCCTACACTACCGCCGACGCTGACAGAAGTTTTGGAGGTGATTTTGGATCCGTTAGATATCGAAAGAGTGCGCTAAGGAGTAGGGGGTTGTCAGACTATGAAGCAACATGGGAGCCTTCCAAGGTGATCCACAAACAGTTTCCGTCTTTCCATCTGGGGTTGTCAGACTATGAAGCAACATGGGAGCCTTACAAGGTGATCCACAAACAGTTTCCGTCTTTCCATCTTGAGAACAATATACTTTTTGAGAGGGGAGTAATGTTACGCCCATACACGAGCCGGTCCACCTTGGACCGATTGGAAGCATTATAACCGGTCCACAAGTGGGCCAGCCTTGGCGAAGAAGCGGAGCGGCAGGGGGAGCCGCAGAAGAAGGAAAGGAAAGGGTGGGTCCACTAGGGCCATAATCACCTATGCAAGGAGGAGAAATTAATGGAGTTTCGAGGGAAAGTTAGGAAGGAAAGTTATTGAAATGTTGCGAGCGATTTTATTTGAGGGAGAACCTAGGGTTTGCTTTCTTTATGCATTATTTTGTTGGCAACTATAACTATGTTTTATTCTTTTGGTGGTGTTCCTAGCGATCTCTAGGTGCGGGAGTGTCGATCTACCTCTCGAAAGTAGATCATCTTTTTTATCTTGCTTGTTTGCATTTGTTTTTCATAAGAGCAACCCTTATTTGACTTATCTCCATCTATCTATCGTCGTTTCGCTGTTGTTGTTGCTGATTTTGGTGGGAGGGCTTAGATTGGCTCTCTTAAACTTCCTTCGGGCTTGATGTGTCATGTGCCATAGCATTCATTGTAGTTACACGGAGCTTTGATTTGATTTTTTGATAAGGTGACAAGCGGTTGCTCTAGTGCTTTGTGATGATTTGACAAATCATTTGTGAGTTTCCTTGTAATAACTTTTGATTCATTAACTAATTTTTGTGTTATATTTATTTATTTGTTTTTGATTCTCTAACTAATTTGCTCTCTTCTCTGTCATATTTTATTTTCAAAATTTCTACTATATTTTCATCTTCCACGTGGCATTTGAGGTGCTTTACTTGGTCTTTTGCTTATTACTTGTGTCAATTGTTGAGCTTCTTTGATTTAATAATTTGATTCATGCTTGTTACATTTGGATGAATGTCAATTTCTGCAATCTCCTGTGGACCTATTCCTTGTACTTTTGATGAGAAGAAATACCTTTATCCAAGGTCATTCTTCTTACTTGATTTTTTTGCTCTGTGGTTAGATTCCTTGTCCAGTTTACCTTATTTGTTGTCTTATTCTTTGCTCTATGCTTCGTTATATTTCCTCGTGAATTTATCTTCCTTTTAACTTGTTGAGACCCTCCCTCTCCATGGTAGTGTTCCTTTTTATTTATCGTATGCTTTTATGCTGGCTACTTAGAAGGAAGAGGACTTCTCATGTTTGGAAGAGATGCAATGAGGAAGAAGCTGTATATCTGAGTTTTCATCTTCTATTTCATTTATCTGGCATACTTTTTTGCATGTTAATGACCATGGCTGGTGACCTGTTGGTGGGAGGTTTGATATGGTCGGGCTACAATCGGACTCTTTTGGTTGTTTGTATCATCGTTTTTATTGTTTTTTTGGAATTCCTTATAATAGAGCAATAAAACTATTTGTATTATTTTGTAATTTCTATAAAATTTATTTGAGTTTGTAGAATGTTCACCCTCTTTTTTTATTTTGTAGAATGGGATGAAAATTTGTTATTTTTTATGCTTATTGTTTAATTAATCTTTTCAATATTTGGAATTTTTATCGATTGAATGCCATGAGAATGACTTCGACCTTTCACCAAGCCGATTTAGGTAGGTTTGCTCGAGTCATAATGAGTTTAGTCAGAGTGCTTGAGGCTAGCAAAAATATTTCTAGTTAGTGAGTGTTGATTTTTTGGGGGATATTTAAGGATTGGGCCTTCCCACTATTATGAATTTAGATAATCCTTGCATAATCTTGTAGATGGATTTTATTGCTCAACATAATCTCATTGACAATCACATTGCGGCAGAGCCATGTGAACATATAGTAATCGTGGCAGGCTTATATGTGAAGGTAGACATATGAAACATATAGTCTAAAAAGGGTTATGTTGAGATGGTCATATGGAAAATATAGTCTTTGATAAAAGAAAATAAAGTTTAAAAAAAGAAGAAAAAATGCAGGTGATCTTTGATGAAAGAAAATTTTGCCACTTATAAATTAACAAAACTAGCTTCAACATGAATTGATTTAGAACTCGCTTCACTAATAATGAAGTCAATTAGGCTAATAGGGCTGGTTAAAACCAAGCACAATTGGCATAAAATATTGTTAGGAAGCTATCTACACAAAGAATTTGTGGAACATCATCATAATAAATGATACCGAAATCGGTATAGAAATAAGGTGAGGTGAAACACAACACATCCACTAGTAATTTTATAGAAGCAAGAAATTGAAAATACAACAAATTAAAAGCAAATAGCAACGATAAGTACTAGGTAATAGGGTGCGCGTGGGGTTCGTTGGGGATTGGGCCTCTGAGGTGGTGGCAAGCCCCTAGCAAGCTGGTAACAGTAAGACAGTTCAGCAAGCAAGCAGCAGGAACACCTACGAGAGGGCGGTCCAGAGCAACATCAGTAAGGACGTGGCCAAAACAGCCACGGGGCTGGTGGTTCGGGGTGGCGACAACAAGGAAAAAAATGATGGGGATGTGGGAGCGATGCAAGAAATGACGAGGAAATGTATATGAAGGATAAACATCACCTGGAGATCAAGATATTGCCAGAGCATCATTTGGAAGCCTAAGATACAATCCTAAAAGGGAAAAAATGAGCCGACGACTCTATAAACTCAAATCAATCAAAACTAAACCTCAAACATCAAAGAAACATTTAAATAGACCTACTCCTATTTGGAGTGGGCCCCACTCCAAATGGGCGGCTAGAGAGAGCTGACCCAAAGAAACATTTAAATAGACCCACTCCTATTTGGAGTGGGCCCACTCCAAATGGGCGGCTAGCCCCACTCCAAATGGGCGGCTAGAGAGAGCTGACCAGCCCTCCCTCAATCTGGACCAAAGCTGTCCAAGGTCCCACCCTGCCCCTGCTTCGGTAAATCACTTGATTTAATGTGTTTTGAGCTTTCCCTTCGGTGATGCGTTGGCTCGCTACTGTTGCTGGTGACCAACATGATTGGTGAAAGTGAAGGATTTTTAGGGATCATTAACCTAACGGTTCTTAGTGACAAGCTTTATAGATCTAAACAGAAGTACCAAATATTGCAAAAACTAATTTCTCTCGTAGTGATTGATTGTTGAAGTGTGGCATATCTATACATGTCATCATAAATGTTGGATGAATAGTGGGTCCATAAACTATTCATGCTTCCTATTCTTTGATTCAGGAACCGAATTAAGAACGAAATAAAATTATTGTCTGTGAGCCTACTTAGCTTTCTTTCATTCTCCCTTATTGCTCTCAAGGTCATCATAAATGTTACTTTAATTTTTTTAAAAGGTCCAGTTTTTTCTTAAGTTCTATAAGTATTTTTCTTTCATGTCAATATTTATTTAAGGGGCATTTACATACATACCACCCAATTCCTAACTGCTTACATTGCTAACATCTAAACTTTACTTTTTAGATTTACACCACCCAAATCTTTCATATCACATAAAAATAACACTATTTTAACTTTTATAAAGTGTAATACACATTTTCTTGCATGGTTAAGATGCCATGTATGTAAAAATTGAAGTTTGAGTGTTAGATATGTAAATACGTAGGAATTAAGTGGTATATATGTAAATCTTCCTTTATTTAAATTTCTCTGCTGTCCAGATTCCTTAAAAGTGTGATCTTAACCTTATCAGGTCATGAAGACCCTGGTTCAGTTTGGAGCACCACCAGAGATTCTTCTTGATGGAAAGCCTCATCTTGGAACAGACCGCTTGATCGGAATTCTTAAGAACATCCGACAGCATTTAGTTCGACTGGGCGTGAGCTTTCTCCCAGTTTATTGATTCTTTTACTCCGTGTATTTCCAGATGCTTTTTTGCATTGTTTTATATGTAATTACATTTATAACACCTAAACTTTAATTTTTACATTAATACAACCCAAATCTTTTGTTCCACATCAAAAATACCACCACTATTTTAACTCTACGAAGTGAAATACACATTTTCATGCATAGATAAGGCAGCATGTATGTAAAAATTGAAGTTTAGGTGTTGGATATGTAAATACACAAGAATGGAGTGTTATGAATGTAAATCTTTTTTATTGTTTTTCTAATTTTATTTTCATTATAATGCAGGTTGATATAAAGTTTGGAACAAGGCTAGATGATTTTATTGTGGAAAACAAACAGATTATTGGAATCAAAGTCTCTGATGCAAGAGATGAATCCAGATCTAATAACCAGAGTTTATTATACGACGCAGTTGTTTTAGCTGTCGGGCATTCAGCTCGTGATGTATATCAAATGCTTGTTCAGCATAATGTGGATATGGTCCCCAAAGATTTTGCTGTAAGTTTCGATCTTATTACTGCAATTTGATGAACTAATATTTAATAAAGTTGAACTTCTAACCACCTGTGTGGATTCTACTTCACCGCTCCCTAGATTCTGCCTAAAAGCTAAGGAACCCATTGGGGTCATTTTTTTTATTTTTTTTGACATTTTTTTATTTTTATTTTTATTATTTTAATGTTTTGATTTAAATTAAACTATACTTGATTGAGGTAGTTGTTCTTAAAAACACTCGAGACTTCTTTTAATTGTTTTGAATGTTTTAAAGATTTGTTTATTTTTAGAATCAAAAAGCAAAAACTTATTAAAATTATATCAAACAAACATTTAAAAAAAACAAAAATAAAAATAGAAAACAAAAGCGACACCAAACGTACTCTAATATATTCAAATCTCCATCGACTTGCATCTGATGTTGTCAATGGTCAATCAGTGCAAAACTTCGTAGTCTTCCTTGCTAGAAGAGTATCGAAGATTCAATCTTAATTATCACACCATAATTAGGTAATGGCATTATGTTGTCGAAAACTTCTTTATTTGCTTGCAAAACCGAATGTTAGATATGTTTCTTGCCAGTATCTTATTGTGGCTACATGTGAGGTACATAAATAAATTTTGGATGACATGTTGCATACCCCTAGCGTTACCCCTTAAGTATAATGAAGCTAAGCTCTTAAACATCGAGGCGTCTTCTGGTGTAACGGTTGGAGTTTTATTAGAAACTCTAAAGTTAATCATGCTCTTGCGGAAGCACTCTTTGGGATGTGTGACCTCTTGGAAAGTTACACCAACGAAACAAAATTATGAGGCCATCAGGCCAAAACAGACAAGAACTCGATGGATGAGAGTTTGGGCTATTATAAATGACATTGGAGCATTACACTAGTTTGAAGATAGTAATATCTGCCCGATGGATGATTTTGGCTACTGAAGTGGGAGAAATTGTGAATTTCCTTAGGTAGAATGAAGCTAAGCTCTTAAACATCGAGACGCATTTTGGTGTGACGATTGAAATTTCATTAGGAACTCTAAAACTAAGCATGCTCTAGCAGGAGCCCTCGTTATTTAAGTTAGTATTACTTTAGCCTTTGCATTTGAAATCCTCGATCTTGGTACAACCGGAGGCAAGTTATACAATGTTTTTTTGCTTCAAGTATATTCATTTGCATAACTCAATCTTTTCTACACGCTTATTGCTTTCCATGTGCCCAATAGGTTGGCTTACGAATTGAACATCCCCAGGAACTAATAAACAAGATACAGGTATATGCCATTTCTTGATTTCATATTTTTCGGTGTTTACATGCATATCATGCAATTCTTTTGTATTTACATATCTCAAACCTAAATTTTCATATTTACACACATAGCACTCATATCTTTAATATCACATCAAAAATATCATTATTATCAACTTTTCATGCATGGGTTTAAAGCACCAAAGTGCTATGCATGTAAATATGGAATTTAAGGTGCGAGATATGTAAATACATAAGAATTGTGTGCTACGTATGTAAGTTGTCCTAATTTTTTTTTGAGATGTTCTACTGAACTTATTGTTTTTTTTTTAAAATAAAATTTTATCCTAATCATATATTTGGATATGCTATATACTTTTCTAGTATTCTTCGCTAGCTACCGAGGTTCAATCAGGTCGTGGAAAAGTACCTGTAGCAGATTACAAGGTGGTTAAATATATCAATGAAGGATCTGAGATTGTGAACTCTTGTTTGGAGGACCGAACTAGAAGCTGCTATTCTTTCTGCATGTGTCCTGGTGGTCAGGTGAGCATTACCATGTTACTTCTTGCATTTAACAATCGAAAGATTTACATACATACCACTCACTTCTTATGCATTTTTACATATCTAGCATATAAACTTCAATTTTTAGATATATACCTCCTCACACGTGCATTTAAAGATGTAGTTGACTTTTAAGAAGTAAAGTAGTTGTAAAAAGTAAAGTTTGTGTTCGATATTTATATATAAAAGTATTGGATGGTATGTTTCATGTGGTTAATGAGTTATCGTTGCTGGTAGGTTGTGCTAACTAGCACGAATTCATCTGAGCTCTGCATCAATGGCATGTCATTTTCTCGTCGGTCGTCGAGATGGGCCAATTCGGCTATTGTTGTTAGTGTATCTACGAATGACTTTGCTCCCTTCACTGGTTATGGGGCTCTTTGTGGTGTTGAATTTCAGGTTCTTGTCCTCGTTCTTCTCCTCTTGTTAGTGTACACGTTGCATTACTTCAGTGTTCTGTATAAAAAAAGTGAATTTTACATACATACCACACAATTACTTTATATTTACATATTTAACGCCTGAAGTTTGATAGTTACACTTGTAACACTTTGGTGTCATAAATCTATACATAAAAAAAAGGTGTATTTCACTTTTAAAAAGACAACAATGATGGTACTTTTGATGCGTTGTTAAATATTTGAGTGATATACATGTAAATGTAAATATTTAGGTGTTAAATATGTAAATATATAAGAATTGTGCAGTATGTATGTAAATGCCTAAAATTAGAAAGTTTAGAATCCCAAAGACGGAATTTCTAGGTTCTCAAGTTCAACTATGCAGTTTTGACAGAGTATGATGTTAGAGCAGTATAGACATCATTCTGTTGCTTGGTTTATGATTAATTTAGGTCATATCATTATTCTAGTTGTTAATAAAAAAAATTAATTATGTTGGCAATTTGGTGAGATCTAATTCATTTACAAGAGCAAAGAATTACATGAAGGTCTCATGCACAAAACACCCCAATAATTTTATTTATGTTAACCAAATGATGTCCACGTTCTACAGTAAAATTTTCAAAATAACCCCTTAATAAATGCAACTCAGAAGTACCGGTCCGCAACTGAGTTTGTTCACGCCATTTCTTTGCAAGTCGCAAAAGTCGTCTCGACAACTTAACATGGAATGCTTCGTTTCTTTGC